ATAAAACATTTTCAAAATCAAGGAAAGTTTCCAAAAACAAATAATGATTTTCAAACTAAACTGAACAAAATTCAAGATATAGAAGATACAATTTCCTTTAACCCGGACACTTACAGCCCCATTTCTTGCTCTGAAATTAAATGTATAATAAAAAAACTTTAACTTAAAATGGGAAAGTAAGTGGTCCAGATAGCGTGTTGAATGGGGTTATCAAATTTAGTAGTCCAGTAAATACTAAAGCATATTTTAAATTATTTAATCTTATGTTAAAACAGGAAAATATCCAACTTCATGGAATTTTGCATACATAATTTGAAGCCCTCCCGTCAATGCACTCCTTTGCAAATCACAATAGTTAACTCCCTCGAAGATCAATCTCACGGTGGGTAAGGTTGTCCTGCGAGAGAATGTTTTGCGCTGGTGATTTGGTCCTGATCGCTGCTAGTGGGTCCTGATTCTGTGCTGGTGGATTTTTTTTTACATTGTATCAGAAAGGAAATAAAAAAAAACATATTGCTGAATTTTCACTAATACGTTATACGTACCTCGCGAAGAGCATTACATTTTCATTGCAAAAGTAGTGCAAATACGCAGAACGAAATTGTCCCGATTATTTTCTGTTGAGGAGAATAATATGACATGGTTCGGTGTTCTTTATTTTTTGAGTAGGAATAGGCAACTATTTAAGACCAATGATGCAGAAAATTTGTGTAATTGATAGAAAAGACACCTATCATACATTTAGTGTATGAAATATTTTAGATGAGAGAAATGCAACGGCCTGATTTATGTACAATACAATAAACAAGAGAAGTTGCCCTTGGGTGACGATTTTGTTTACCTTTTTTGTCAGATATTTTTGGAAACCATATAGTAGAAAGAGTGAAATTGTAAAAAGCAAAAATTATTAGCAAAATATAATCTACAAATAAGTTAAATGGCCGAAATCGTAGGAGTCCCTTGAATATAAAATAAGGAGATTTGATATGATTACAAATAAAATAACCTTCCAATGACTATGTTTACACTTTTTGTGTTAATTGTTGTCTATGATATTGAAAACTATAATAGATAGAGAGATACTTTGATCAGCAAAAACTATCAGCCAAACAAGATCTACACCTATATGTATGAGTCTGCTCCTAATAGAAGTTACTGCTCTTGAATGACTGTTTTCCCTTTTTTTCTGTTTTAACAGAAACTATAGCAGTTAGTAAGAGAAGAGGCAACAATCTCTTTTTTGTTGTCCCCCGCGTAATGCGTTGCGGGGGACATGGAAATACCGGGCGCCAGTCCGTCCGTCCGGTCTTGTTAGCGCTCTCACAGGTACAATTCTTGCCAGATTTTTATAAAACTTATACTATAGGTTAATATCAGCAATATCTCGGACACGTTTTATAATGATGGTCGATCGACTTTTTTTTAAAAGAGTTATGCTCCTTGGAAATATTAAATTTATGGAAAATGGCCTCGTTAGCGCTCTCACGGGTACAATTCTTGCCCGATTTTTATAAAACTTATACTATGGGTTAATATCTCGGACAAGTTCTATAATGATGGCCGATCGACTATTTTTAAAGAGTTATGCCCCTTGGAAATGTTAAATTTATGGAAAATGGCCTCGTAAGCGCTCTCACGGGCACAATTCTTGCCATATTTTTATAAAAATTATACTATAGGTTAATATCAGCAATATCTCGGACATGTTCTATATTGGTGGCCGATCAACTTTTTTTAAAAGAGTTATGCCCCTTGGAAATATTAAATTTATGGAAAATAGCCTGGTTAGCGCTCTCACAGGTACAATTCTAGCCAGATTTTTATAAAACTTATGCTATAGGTTAATATCAGCAATATCTCTGACAAGTTCTATAATGGTGGCCGATTGACTTTTTTAAAAGAGTTATGCCCCTTGGAAATATTAAATTTATGGAAAATGGCCTTGTTAGCGCTCTCACGGGTACAATTCTTCCAGATTTTTTTTTAAACCTATACTATAGGTTAATATCAGCAATATCTCTGACAAGTTCTATAATGGTGGCCGATCGACTTTTTTTAAATGCGTTATGCCCCTTGGAAATATTAAATTTATGGAAAATGGCCTTGTTAGCACTACCAAAAAAAAAGTCTTTTATTTTGTTATTGCCCTTGTACCTTGGATAGATAAAATATGTGCAACACAGGGGACATTGGAACTCTGTTCTTTTATTGATCTTGTATTGCTGATCATTTTTCTGTTTACAGTTTCTCTCGGTCTTCTTTAGTTTTTACCCCAAACACAAAAAAGATTAAAGAAAAAAGGGCAACCACTCCTATAAAGACTCTAATCTCAATTTCAGCAAAGTTTTACTTATTTGTAGATTTTGTCTTGCTGATCCCTTTAGCCATTTAAAGTGTCTATCTATTATTGTTTTCAAGATAACAGGCAAAAATGAAAAAAAAATGGTAAAAATAGTCATTCAAGAGCAAGAACTGTATAATAAGGAGACAACTGACCATATCCTCAATTTGACTTGTTTGAAGATATTGTCTTGCTGATCATTTTTTTGTTATTTAAAGTTTCTATCTATCCATTATAGTTTAGTTTTCAAGATAATAGGCAAAAACACTAACAATGAGTAAAAATTGTCATTAAAGAGAAATAACTCTAATGAAGAGTTGACTGTTGATCATCTACCATTTTTGATTTGTTTGTAGATCTTGTCTTGCTGATAAGTGTCTATCTATCTGACAGTAATAGTTTTCAAGGAAACAGACAAAAACATTAACTAGAGGCTCTAAAGAGCCTGTGTCACTCACTTAGGTCAATGTGCATCTTCAACAATGGACACTCTCCAACATTGTGGACTAGAATAGAATTCATGACAAAATTATGTTTTTTGTTGATATTGTATTGCTGATAAATTTTTCTGTTTACAATTTCTACAACTAGGGGGTGTTTATCAACCTTAATTACCCATGAGGGTCTCACACGGTTGGTATAGTTTCTCTCGATCTTCTTTAGTTTTTGCCCAAAGCACAAAAAAAGGTAAACTAAAAAAAAATCATTTCAAGGGGAATCTCTAAAAATAGGGACAAAAATCGTCTTTAAAAGGCAATTTCTCCAGAAGGAGTCATTAAACAATTTCGGCCATGTTGCCTTATTTGTAGATCTTGTCTTCTTTTTGCTTTTTAAAGTGTCTATCTTTTGTAGTTTTCAAGATAATAGGCAAAAATTAAAAAAACTGGTAAATATCATCATTAAAGAGCAAAAACTCCAAAAAAGGAGTTGACTGAAGATTTCAGCCTTGCTGACTTATTTGAAGATCTTGTCTTGCTGATAATTTTTGCTATTTCAAGTGTCTATCCATCTTCAATAGTTTTCAAAATAATAGACAAAAACACTAAAAATGTGTAAAAATCATCATTAAAGAGCAAATACTCAATAGTGAATCTACTGACAATTTCTGCTATTTGACTTATGTGTCTATCTTGTCTTGCTGATCATTTATGTAAGTTTCTATCTATCTATTATAATTTTTAAGATTTAAGGTGAAACCCCAAAAATAGTAAAAAAAAAATCATCATTAATGGGCAATAATTCCAATAAGGAAGCATCAGATGATTTCATCAGTTTGACTTCATTGTAGATCTTGTCTTGCTGATCATTTTTGTTTATTTAAGTTTCTTTCTATCTATCTATTATAATTTTTAAGATATAAGGCAAAAAGTGGGTAAAAATTGTCATTGAAGGGCAAAAACTCTAATGAGGAGTCGTCAGATTTTTTGAGATATAAGGCACAAACGAACAATATTGATAAAAATCGTCATTAAAGGTAAAAAACTCCAATAAGGAGTTGAGTGTCAATTTCAGCAATCTTGTCTTAATTGTTGATCTTGTAGATAATAGGCAGAAACAAAACATTGGGAAAATCGTCACTAAAGAGCAACAACTTCAATAAGGAGTGGACCAAAGACTTTGGTCATACTGACTTATTTGTAGATGTTGACTTGCTGGTCATGTTTGCTATTTGCAATTCCTTTTATCTATTATAGTTATCAAGATAATAGGCAAAAATGCAAAAAAATGGGAAAAATAGACATTAAAGGGCAATAACTTCAATAAGTATCGACTAACTATTTTGGCCTTGTTGATTAAGTTGTAAATCTTGTCTTGCTGATCATTTTTCCTTTCCAAAGTTTCAATGTATTTTCAAGATAATAGGCAAAAATGCAAAAAAAATTGAGAAAAATCAATGATTAAGGGCAATTACTCCCATAAGACATATCTGACAGTTTTGATGTTGAATACATTAGGTAGATCTCATTATTCTGAACATTTTTGCCTTAGTCAGATTTTCTCTATCTTGAACAGTTTTCAAGATAATAGCCTAACATTGCATTTTACCCCTATGTTCTATTTTTAGCCATGTCGGCCATGTTGTTCTGGGGGGATTATGGTCATCGGACACATTTTTTAAACTAGATACCCCAATGATGGTTGTGGCCAACTTTGGTTAAATTTGGTCCAACAGTTGCAGAGGAGAAGATTTTTGTAAAAGGTAACAGATGCAGACGGACAACGACAGACACCAAGTGATGAGAAAAGCTCACTTGGCCCATTTGGCCAGGTGAGCTAAAAATATTAGGTAGATCTCTTCATTTGAAACATTACTGCTCTGTCAGATTTTCTCTATCTTTAGCGGTTTTCAAGATAATAGACAAAACTTGCATGTTTCCCCTATGTTCTATTTTTAGCCATATCGGTTGGCAGGTGGGGTCATCAGACACATTTTTTAAACTACATACCCAAATGATGATTAATGATGAGTTTGGTTATATTTGGCATTGTAGTTTCAGAGGAGAAGAATTTTATAAAAGTTAATAAAGACAAATGACGATGACGATGGACAACGATGACGGACGACTGAAACCAAGTGATGAGAATATGCAACTAAACTCAATAAATTGGCATGCTTACCGTAGGTTTGATTTTAAAAAAATCAACAAATCAACCAAAATCACTTTTCACAAATTTTATTAACTGAAATGCATAATAAATAAATCTTAACTATATACAAGATTAAAACGAAGACACACAAATCAATGGCTCATTATACCAATTCTAAACAGCAAAATAAAACAAAAATTATTTAAAGGAGAATACATTTTTTTCTAAGTACAAGTAATAATTTGTAAAATAACATATCACATGAAGTGAGTATTTAGATGATTAAAATGAGTATATATATTGATTGAGCAATTTCATGTTTTATACTTGCCTAATAAAGGCAGACAGGTAAAGAAAAATTATTTCTTCAAATATTCTCAGGAAAATTTCTTAGGGACTGTTTGAAACATGTATGGACAGTCTATTTAACATTCAATGATTTTTAATCTTGATATCCCTATCTTAGTTGATGTTCCTGTAGTAAAACGTATCCTAATATAAATATAAAACTGCTCAAGTCTTAAAATTTGAAATGGAAAATATTTATTTTTGGAATGTCAGAAATTAATTCTAGTCTATTCATCAATGAAAAAAATACTATATATAAATTATTTTTCATATAGTTCTGTTTACATCAAATACACATATTTTTTTTTTAAAACACACATTTATTCTTTTGTCTACAATATACAAGGTTTAAGAATCTTTAAAGAATAATTATAGTGACATCATGTTCAAAATTTTTTATTTTTTTTAAATGTTTCCTACAAATGTTTATAATACTGATACAAAAATAATCCAAAATTCAGATTGATTAATTTACATAGCAAAACACATATATTCACAAATAGTTTTTTTTTAATTTTCATACTGTTTCTGGCAGGTAAAAGCTTCAGTTGCTCAGGATTTTCCATGTGTCATCTCCAAAATATTCCTACAATGGACAAAATCATGAAACTTTACAGATTTCGATGATTTACACTAGCTTATAAATGAAAAGGAAAGACATTTTTCTAAGTATTAAATAAAATAGTATAATACAGCATAATTTACTTCAATAAAACAACTTCAGCAGTTGGTAAATCGGGGAATAAAAATACTTTTAAATGACTGTAATAAAAAGTCTTGCTTCTGTAGCATTTTAACAAAACATGATAGATCTGATTTGGATTTGAATATTATTTTTTGGCCATGGGGTTTTCTGTTTTAATTTGACTTATGATATTGTATTACCTCTTTGGTAATCAATCAATCAGTCAAACATATCCTACTTGCCAGATATAAGCTATGTGTCCATGAAATAAAAAAAATATGAAATTTTAACTTTTTTGTTTCAATCAAAATTTTTGAAATTAATTGGTATAAGGGCTATTCCAAAATCAAATGTATAGGGGTTTGGAAAGCCCTTTACCCCAAAATTCCATCCTAACAATTTAGATTTTAATTTGGTTCATTAGCTTGTGAAAAGTAGTTTTGAACCCCACTGACCCAATGTTATTAATATTAGGTGCCTTCCACCCCTTATACAATTAATTCTGGAATAGTCCAACGTATAAAAGATGATTGTTTGATTGTTGTTAAAGCCACTTTCCTGACTCTTTGCTATTTCATGGCAAACAGCTTTTATTGGTGGAGGAAGCTGAAGTGCCAGAAGAGAAACTACTAACCTTTGGCAGAATAATTGATATATGACATTGGTTTTTAAGTACATGTAAACTGTAGGTAAATTCAAGAGTTATATCTACCTTAAAGTTTTTATCAAACTGGTTTTGAATCTTTGAGGGATGTTTCCATGTGCTCCACCATTTTGGTAAATACTGCAATATAGAAAAATTCTATTGGACCAATGATTTATTTTTTAGATCATGATGATGATGATTGATGGCTGTTTAATGTTAAGTGGCAAATAAATCCATATTCAGTATGAAAACATGTTAATGTGTTATGAATATTAACCCTGCTTTGTTCTAGGCCAACACGCTGAGCTGAATTTTTAACATGCTAGTTCACAAATTTCATACATGGTTATTATGGGCTAGAATATATAAGTATTTGATAAACAGGAAGTGAGGGTTGGACGAATCTGAAACTGCATTACATATAGCATTATTATATGAAGACTGATAACATATTTCAGGAGAAGCACTAATTTGTATTACCTTAGAAAAATGCGATGGAATGACATACAGACAGACGAACAGACAGAGGTAAAAAAGTGTGACCCCCCCCCCCCCCCCCCTCTTAACTTACATCTGTATATAACATGGGAACAGAAGCTTGACCATTCCAGTATGAACTATACTCACATCTGAAACACTTAAATAACATGCCAATAATGTCTTAGCCTTTCTTTTTAAATGACTTGCGTCTGATGAACTTAAATAACATACAAATCGAAACATGGCCATTCCAATATGAACTGTTCTTTCGTCTGAAACCCTTGAATAACATGCCGATACAGACTTGGCCATTGCAATATAAACTCTGTTCTTACATCTGAAACAAGTAAATGACATGCCAACAGAAGCTTTACCATTCCAGTATGAACTGAACTCACAGTGACAATAAGGTTGATCACTCGAAACAGAGATCTTATTGATAAGCTGTCCTGATGGGATGCCTATGTCAAAGATGAAGAAAAAGGAAAGAAACAAACAACACACCTTGTACAGGATAACCATATTTGAAGAAATAAAGTATATCTATTAACTCTTATATGTGTTTTGTAGATGAATAAATAAACAGGTCATATATTTCACTTGAAAATGTCGTTCGCGCAAAATCTCCCCCTCAGCTGTCATAGCTGAGGGGGAGATCTCCCTCTTTGAAGGTTTCAGAGGTTGGCAGGTATGCATGCCAATATAATTTTGGAAATTCCAGTATGAACTGTACTTACGTCTGAAACACTTGTATAGCATGTTCTACAGACAGATTTGGCCATTCCAGTATGATCAGCCACACATTGACAGACTTGGCAATCATCTGGTACTGCTGTCTCACTTATACGTTTACTAACAGTGTTCAGAAACCACTTCCTGTCACGAATCTTAGAGCTAGTTAATCCTTCAGAGTGAAACACTGAACCATCTGTCTTCATGGACAATGAAACACAAGAATCTTCTGGTTTCTGGATATCATTAGATGTGGTATCTTTCATTGGCTTCATCATATATTTCTTTGTACTATCAAAACCTTAAATAATCATTCATATACAAAAACTTAAAAATAATCTGGCTAAAATATCTGATTATTTGAGCTGATTTTTAAAAATAATAATCATATTGTTCAACTTACAATATTTATCCACTTAAAATTTTCAAATTCCAAAAGAAAGACTTGCTATTGTTGATGTAAGTGATAAATACTGCAATCCATGTTGTTATGCCATAACAGTTTATTTTACTAATACAAAAACAGTACTGATTTCAGGATTCCAACCAGGAACCTCAACAGTACTGAGGATACAGTGAACCCATGATGTTAAATTGTTATAATAAATGGGTTTTAATTATTGGTATTCTTTTCAAAGTTCAATTTTATGCAACAATTGTAAAACAACAAAAAACTTCAATGTAAAATATGCTGACAGAAATCCTTTTAATACTTTTGATCTATAATAAATTGACTTACCCATTATAACATTTTTTGGACTGCTGTTTCCTTGTAGTCTAATGTCCTCATCTCTGATTATATGTAGAGTTATTCCTCTATTTAACAGGACATTTTTCAGATAGTTGTAATTGACATTCTTAGAATCAGAACATTCCCCACAGTGGAGAAGGACAATGGTCTTGGAAACTCCTGTTCTGAATGGCATGTCAGCTGCAGTCATAATGGCTTCCATTGGGTCAGTGAAATGATAGCTGAATTTCAGTGTCTCTTTTCCTTTGGCAAAATTATTTGATTCGCTGAAAATGCTACCTTCGAAAGTATGAGTTGATGAAGCAGACTTGCGACCAAAAGCAGATCTTGGTGTACCACCGAAGCCAATCAAACCATATCTATTGTCCTTAATTCCTATTTGAAATAATAAAATACATGAATATCATATGTATATGTACTGAATAAACAAGTTATTTTTCTAGTTTTTCTGCCTAACATAAAAGTCACTTTCATAGATTGTTACACTGTTAATATAGATTGTATTGAAAAATGCCTTTGCAGAAAAAAGTTTTATTTATTTTAGTTTAAAATAGAATATGTGAACAAGTTAAGCATAAGAATGACTATATAGATATAAGAAGATGTGGTATGAGTGCCGATGAGACAACTCTCCATCTAAGTCAAAATTTATAAAAGTAAACCATTATAGGTCACAGTACGGTCTTCAACACGGAGCCTTGGCTCACACGGAACAGTAAGCTATAAAGGGCCCCAAAAAATTACTAGTGTAAAACCATTCAAACGGGAAAACCAACGGTCTAATCTATATAAAAAACGAGAAACGAGAAACACTTATGAACCACATCAACAAACGACAACTACTGAACATCAGATTCCTGACTTAGGACAGGTGCAAACAAATGCAGTGGGTTTAAACGTTTTAATGGTACCAAACCTTCACCCTTTTTCTGAAACAATAGTGTAACATCACAACATAGAAAGACACACTATAAAATATCAACTGAAATAGCTTAACTCAATCAAAGGACATATTAACACCATTGAACATACTCTGAACAAATAAATGCATGTTTCTTAAAAAGAAAGTCAACCTTTTCCATTCAAGATCCCTGTGCAGTTTTCATAGTCTATAAAAAAAATTCATGTCTAAGCTTGATAGGACACAATTTTCTAATTGCAAATTAGTCTTTCTAAAGGTGTGTGGCATGCCCAAGAAATATATAATTTTCAAAAATTTGGAAATTGAAAATAACATCTTAATCAAGATATACCAAATTGTGTATATAATTTTATTAAAGAATATTAAGATGTTGATTAAGAATAAAAATACAAAATAGTTTTTACTCTGCAGAAGAAAGACTTGAGTCCTCTATCATGTCTAGATTATCTGAATTGAAATATGAACTCTTTGTATTTAATGAGGTATAATAATGTTCTGTTTCCCCTTTGAGAAACGTTTTTAAGAAAAATGTTTGTCAATCTTTACAAAATAGTTATGGATATTTATTATTTTCCTATGCAATATCTCAAGCACTATAACATAATGCTACAAAGAGGAAAAATATAAACTACATTTTTAAGAGAAACTTAAAAATCGGCAACAAAGACAAATACTTGTTTTAACAGAAGAAAGTCAGTCATGTAATTAAAGAAACTTACACCCATTTCAAATATAGAGAGAGATTATACAATACTTACCATTCTTTGCGAAAGCTTGTTCAAGCTTGTCAACTAAGTCACCAAGATGGCTGGCAGGGTTAGAATTGCAGTTGACTTGTTCTACAACCATGACAACATCTGCTGACTTCTGTACATGGTAGTCATCACTGGATGGGGAAAGTTTAATTGATTCTCCACTTTCATACATCTCCTTGTTTGGTGTTTCACAAGTTACTATTGGATAGAAAGTCATAATTCTTTGTTTAAAGAATAAAAAATGCATTTAATTTGATAATAAAAAAATTTCATGCAAGCCATAAATTTGTTGGAAATTTTTACGGGGCCTGTGCCATTATATTCATGCATTAGTAAATGTAGACATAGTTTTTGCATATAGGTTACAATACATATGGATTTATATGGGAGGTAAACTGTAACAGCCATAAATACGAACATCTGTGAGTCTGTGCTAAATATAGATATACTGCTGTTGTTTGCAACATGAAAGCAGCATGTCATATAAGAATCTGAGTTTTCAAAATCAAAACCTGATTATCTTCACCATAATGTTAGCAAGTAAATATTCATTTGTACGCAATACATATATGCATGTTTTTATAATATCACTTCCCATTCGCTTTTTGATTGACAATTAATCCTTATGACAGACAATTAGGCTCAGGAAAATATGTTTAATGTTTAAAAGATATCTGTAATCATTGTTTTTCCTTTCAGTTATAAAAAGTATCTTACTGCAAGTTTTAGGCTCCCACAACATTACATCATTCTGACGACACAGTTTGACATAAGCAGACACTGCATTACAACCATCTCCCTTTGATGTCTGCATCTCTGCCATGCATACTTTCATAAAGTAAGCTGGTTCAACCTGAAAGTACAATCATTGTATTCATTCTTTAAACTGGTAAACTAATAAAGATGACATGTTACATGTATCTTCACTTTTGTTCAAATGTAAAAATTAAATAAAAATATCTCTGTTTTAAGGACATCTTTATATGTGGCATTATAACATTTTTGTAACAAGTACATTTGTTAAAATTACTGAAAAACTAACAATTTTGTTTGACAATAAATTCTTCAGTGCATTACTTTATGCTCATTCTAACATAGGTAGATATTTTATTGGCAATTTGTGTATTTTACCTTTGATCCTATTGCCTGATATTTTTTTAAGATTATGGACAGGACCTTATACTCGAAAATATTAGGCAAATAAAGGTAATGACGTCATATATTAGTATAGTCTTATTAATTGGCTGTTTCTGTACTGGCCCTGTTATAGATTCGAGGTAAGCTGTATTGGACTCGAGACTCAAAGCTTTTTTCCGTATTGGCCCTGTCCGAAAGCAATATATTGCAGCAACATCACATGTTTAGGTCCATCATAATAAAAGCATTTCAATTTTTGATACTGACTTCATCAGTTCGAATATCAGCTAGACTAAGAAGGCTCGCTTGATATTCTTGTTGTTATAGTCGGTATCAAAAACAAAAATGCCATTATTCTATATATATATTATACATGTATATATATTAGTCGATTGTTAACTACCATCCATTCACAAAGGTGAAAAGCATTGACAAATATAAAGCCTACCCATATTTAAAAAGAGCATAAAGCACTGTTAATTTGTGTGTTTTTTTGCTGTGCATGAACTGATTTTGTGTCATGGATGGATACCTCATATCCTTTGTTTTTCTATTATAAAGATAGACATTATATAATTATTATGATTTTAATAGAAAAACTCAGAACTACTTTCTTTCAAAGCAGACCTATATGACACATTAAAAAGGCAGTCTATCTTATTTGATGAGGCAAAAACTTGTTGTACACAATTTAAAAAACACAAATACATATAGTCTTATTATTGAAGGTTTTTATTGAATTTCATAGCATGCAACTCTCATAGATATGTCCATGCGGATCTCCAGCACCATTCAAAATACAATTGACTCTGCCATTTTAATTCTGACATCATGAACCTGCATCAAATGTTTTTTTTAGAATAAGGACATGGCCTTGCGTATAAAGCAAAAGAAGAGTGTCATATCAGAATACAAACTAAGCATTTTTTGTGATTCATAAACACCATTTTAAAAGGTATACTTACAACTCTGAAACAAGGTCTGAGAGTGGAATCAGAATTTACAAACAACTTTGAGCATTTCATAAAACCCTTTTGTCCTTCTTCAATTCTGACTTCTGATATAATATTGGCTGGATTCCTACATCTGTTTCCAACTTCCCATGTTTGAGCCATAACATTAACATCATTTGAAACCTGTCCATCTCTGTCAATCATGTCATCATATTGTTCGTTGTCATAGCTACCTAGCATTCCACCCACTTTTCCAAAATACCATCCACTTAGCACAAAAGCAATGTGCTGGTTGGCAAGGTTCCCACTGATGACTAGTCCTCGTCCAGTGTTAACTTGTATAAGATTTCCATCTCTTATTACACTCAATTTTTGATATTTTATGGGTAGTTCTGTTGGTCTGTTGTCAAGTTTAACCTGCAAAGAAAGGTTTGAAAAAATGACAACAATGAATGCATGATTATTGTGTCCATTTTTACATTGCAAATGAGTATTTAACACATTCTAATCATATGTATTAAAGGTATACCGGTAATCTTTGGAATAATTATTTATTTGAGAATTTATCTTTTTTCAGTTACACTCAAATTTTAAGAAAAACCTTATACAATAAAAGTCTTCCATTGATCTACTTTGAGTTATTACCTTTGGCTGCCATATTGGAGTGCAAACTGACTGGTTTTCTCATTTGCCAAACCAAATTGAAACATTTGGTTCAAGCCAGTCTGATAAACCATCCCTACTAGATAGTAGAGAGGAAATGAACAAATGAGATCTGTCAAGAAACAATATTTGAGGGATAACTATTAAAAGAGGATTTCCGTTGATTTATGAAGGAAATTGTACATATCCCCTTAAGAATGGCAGCAAAGGAAAATAGCTCAAACAAGTGAAGCTGCAAGCTACTGCTCACTGATGATACCCCCGCCACAACTGGATAATTTTAATAGCGTAAAAATATGTAAGTGTTCGGTAAACAGGAAGTTGTTGAGTGATGAATCTGAAAACGTATCATACGGTATAGCTGACTTATATAAACCCTGAAACCAAATTTCAGAAATCCTTATGTTGTAGTTCCTGAGAAAGATGGGACGAAAAATATTCATGGGACGGATGGATGGACTGACGGATGGACAATGGAAGGACCGATGGACGGACATATGGACGGATGGACAGACGGACAGACAGAGGTAAAACAGTATACCCCACTTTTTTATAGCAGGGGTATAATAATATCAATGAAAAACCATCTATACACAGCAGAGTGCAAACAAATGATAATGACAAGCTGTTCCCAGTTCTTATTGTTAGAGGATGGTCTATTTAATTGTTTTATCAAATATTCATAACATCATGAAAGTATTACAAACACAAGGGATTTTTTTTTAAAAACTGAATAGTTAATTTTACTCGATAATGGTCAATACCATCAAAATACTAAATTACCATAATATTCCTCAATTTCATAAAGTGATAATATAAAAATGAATATCTTACAACTGTTTTCAATTTACAAGTTATGCTGACTTACAGAGAAATCTGGAGCAATTTCTACAGACTTTCCTTCAGCCAATACTAATAAAGACTTCATTCCTGGTCTTCTTTTACCATTATAGTTCATTATCACTGTGAACTGGTTGTCTACCATGTCTTTGGCCAGAATGTAACTACAGCGTCCACCAAAGTCAATCTGTCTCTGGTCAAAAGTAATGAAATGTTGGTCTCCTGCTACCAAGGCAAAGGCTAAAATATAAAATGATCCATAATTTAGACTAAGACAGTTTAAATTGTTCTAGATGGATGTATTTCATAGCAACAAAAAAAATAAACAAGAAATTTAGACAAATCAATTCAGTGAAAATTGCATGTTCTAAAAAAATCATATTCAACTACTATACTAATTTTATCTAAATTTAACTGTACATCCAAGTAAACTTTCATTTGTTTTAGTTATCAGTATTTTATACAACTGATGCTATATGATTCAACAGGCAAACCACTTTTTTAAATTTAACCTAAACATTTTTTTATTAAACATAGTAAAAACTATTAATCTTACTGTCAAAAGGAGGCACCCAGTCTCTTGGATTCCATGAAGGTTTATATTTGTAGTAGAAGTCCCAGAAACTAAAGTCAAACATTTTTGGCAAATCTAAGTTGTCTATCTTCTTAATGGCCCTATCAAATCTACCAACATATTTGTGAAAGTTGAACCTAGGTAGACTTTCTAAAGTGTCAGCTGGAGTTGGCAGATATATTTCAAATTCAACATTTCCATTCTCAGGATCAAATGCAATGATTCTGTTCTTATCCCAGTGAAGGAATTTGAGATTAGCAATATCCTCTTTGATGTATGTCTGGAATTCATTGTACAGTTCAATCAGGTAACCCTTTATAGTTCTCTCAATGTTCCATTGTTTGTAGGCCCATGTTATCTGAAATTAATTTATAGATATGACTAAAAGGAGATGTTGTGCATATGCAGAGACAGATATCCTTCAAAACGAAAAAAAAAACATGAACTAGATAATTGCATCCAAAAAATGCTCTATTCAGTGTACAAATGCAAATATCAGTAATATCATAAAATGATGACATCCTATTCACATTGATGTATTTCAGCAGTTTAATTACCTTATGATCTTCATTCTACTACGAAAACAGTTTTTAAGGGTAATGATGTTGTTCTAAGTTGTTGATACTGCAAAAATAGCAATATTCTTTTACTGCACAACTTTGAATGAAGCATTACTTTAAAAGTTCTTCTTACTCTGAACACATAGCAATAGCTGTTCAAGCATAAATTCACAGAAAAAAAATTAAAAGAGAACTTTATGCAGCAAGGGAATTGATTTATAAACAAAGAAGTACATTAAAACAGTCTTTAGCAAGCTAAAATGTAAAAATAAGTCTCTACCTTTTTCTGCAACTGATCAGCCAATTCTTTCATTTCCTTGACTTTTTCGTCTTGCATGATTGGTTCAAGTTGGTTCATCACAGCATTCTTTGTTGTCTCTACTACTTCATTATAAGCTTTGGAAAGGTCTAACTTGGACAGTTTGTATTTGATTGCCTTATTGATCTTGTTGATGTAGTACTGCCAGTCTATCTCAGGTAGGTTAGTAGAGTCTGGCAGGTTCTTCAAGATATCGTCAACATATGACATCAATTCTTTAATTTCAGCTTTCTCCAAGACATTGTCAAGAACACCTAGAGGAAAATATTAAGAGTTTAAAACTAAAAGAGTACAAGACCAATAAATCTCAGACACTCATTTACAAGGCTTCCAGTCTCTGATGAGGCTTGAGTGAGACAGGCATTTTATAATTAATCTAATGATAAAATATAAAGGAAACTAATGTGAGAAATGTTCCTTAGTAATATTCCTTTTTACAAAGCTGTTGTCTGATACGTTAGATATAGAAACCAAAGTTCTTTGTCATCTTTATTGCATTTAACCAAGGAAATAAAAAAGCAAGAACTTAAGAGTAACTATCATCAAATACTGCAGTAGTTCACACAGTTTGTCATTGATGCTCTTTTATTAGTTTAGTTTTTTTATTTCATTCTTTCACTTTTCTTAAGTAATCTTTCAAATCATACCAGCCACTTCCTTTGTGATTTTATCAGTCAGTGTCTTTACGTCTTTTCTGAATGTTTCTACAGTTGATTTCATTTTCTGTGTCACAGTATCCATTTCTGTCTTTAAGAAGTCAACCATTTCTTGCTTGAATGACTAAACAAAAGGATTGTGGAGATGAATATAAGATAGATTTTAGGTATAATGACAGGTTCAACAACAGACAATGAAATATAAGACCTACTTTCAGCACCAAAATTCTGCAATTATCAAATAAGACAAAAATTACAGAAATTTCTTCTGCACTCTCCGAGTTGCAGGAAATAAATAAAAGGTATGTACAGAACTAACCTTAAGGTTGCAATACAAACACCCTACATTGAAAAACCATCAGAAATTTTGGTTTTTGATTACTTTTGTGATCTTCAGAAAACATTGAATACATCTATCAAAAGGTTGCATGCTTTTTTTAATTTTGAAAAAAAAGGTGTTAAATCAAGATGTTTTAAAGCCCTGTTTAATTTATTCAAAACTTATTCAGAATCCAGGCTAGTTGAGCTTGATATGTTGTGTAACCTTATCTTTTAGCTAAGACTGTACTGACCTCTACAAGGTCATCTGCTATCTTTTGTTCTTAAGATTGCTATCTCACTGACATTAACCTACATCTCCTTTTATTCACATTAACATAAACAACTATCTTATTAAACTATCTTTAAAACACAAATTATTAAGTTACTACAATATCATTATCAACTATAAACTATCTTTAAAACACAAATTATTAAGTTACTACAATATCATTATCAACTATGTAAAAATGAGTCAAAATGTTCTTTTGTGGAAACATATTACTCAATACTCTTACACATCAGATATCCATTATTAATATACATTTACCTGCATTCCGGAAGCTACATTGTTAACAAATTCTTTATATTTAGCATCAAATGGATAAGTCTTCAAATCTTTAAATTCTTCCAATTTCTTTCTCAAATTATTCACTGCATCCTTCATTTCTGTCACTGTCTTTCTATAAAGTTCCCTGCAAAATTTTTTATGAATTGCTTTAACCATAATTGTTTCACCTAAAATCTGAATAGTGAATCTGGATTACTAAAAAAGTAGAATTTGACATTCTAGTAATTATTTCATGCTATTATTCAATTGTAAATTATAAATAGCTCTTACCAAAACTGAGTTCTGTGTTCAATTTGTTTATTGTTCCCAGACAACAAAACATCATGACTCCAGTCATGCTAATTCATCCAAAAAAATGTGTATAATGTATAAAAATCTAAAAAAAGATTTGAATAAACTTAAAAGAAACTATCAATGACCTGCCATCAACACCAAGTTTCCCAAATCACAAAAACATAAAGATATGACATAAAACATGGGTTGCTGACTTACAGCAGACACATAAATACGTGCTGAGGTTAAACTGAGACCTTGACTATTGATGTAAAAATTTGGAGTTCAGATGCTAGTGCCTTACAGAATGAAGAAAAATTTTCTTTACATTGACTAAAGTAATAAATACTAATAATGATTACATATGTCTTTTGAAGATACATTTGCATGAGTTTAAATAAAGTAAAAACAACAGTGGTCAATATCTAGCATACTTACATCATAGATGATGTTTTCTGTCTAATACCATCAGTAACATCCTTAACATACATATCATTGGCTTTGTACATCTTGTCCATTTGATCTTTGGCCTTTTTCAGTTGTTTCTGGACAACACGTAGTGATCTTGTCATGCTGTTGATATATGGTGTAAGTTCTTTTTCCAGTTCAGCAGAGATTGCATCAAATTTGGCAGAAACCTCCTTTTCCATATCATTGGCAGTTGCAATAAACTCTGTATTGGCTGATTTTCCATAATGTTCAATTGTATCAACACCAAATTGCTTTTAAAGAAAAAATAAATTACATGTAATCGGGAATTGGATTTGTCTTTTTTTCATAGACAATGCAATTTAAAAAGTAGCTGTAATCAGGACAAAATATTAAGTGATTTTTTTAAATAAGACAATTGTAAAGATAAGAGATACTTAAATATTACACAGAAGAGGCATTTAAAAATATTTGGTAAAACACATTCAAAAAGTTTATTTTAGTGGTATTTCAGTATATATATAGAAACCATACTTTACAACTTTACATCTGTTTCAATATTTTTTTTTAAAAAAAAACTCACCATCAGGTCTTTGAAAAGACTTGGTCTCCATGTAAGTTTAGAGTGAAGAATTCTTGTTGTTCTCAAATTAACTTTGATGACACTATCTGTTATCTGTGGTTTATCACCAGTTCTGTAAATCTGGGCCTCAAAGTTGGTTTTACTTGGATACTTGGCAGCAACATGGAGCATGTTGTTGGGGTTTGCTGTAAAATAACAGTTTCTGTGAAATACAGTTATCTTAGGTAAAAAAAAAAAAAAAAAAATGGCTGTTGTATTTTACTGAACTTTGTAGTTTACAAGCTTAAATGATAAGAACATGGACACTTGAAAGAAACTTTATATTTAACTCGGTACAATTTTTTTGGCAAACTGAAATAAATGAGAAGTGTTACACAATAAAAATAGATTTAAATGAAACTTGAAAAATTTATCCTATTTTTAACAATCTAAAAACAGGAGATGTGGTATGATTGCCTATGAGAAAATTATCCACCAGAGACCAAATGACATTGGATATAAACAACCATAGGTCACTGTATGGTCTCAAAAGAGAAGTATTTTCCTTATTTGTTTTGTAAGGTTACTGTATCATTTACTTGTACCCTTCATCTCCTTCTTTTCAATAAACACCTTGTTTTCTTGATGTTTCGAACTATCAATCAACATATTTCCCGAAAAGGTCCTTCACATATAGTTTTTGTTTACCTCTATCATATTTCATCTGCAACTCCATGGCCTTTTTGTTTGAATCAATGATAATATCAGCTTCTACAATATCTTCCAGAGCATGTAAACCTCTGATATTGACAGTTACTGTATTGTCTCCCTTAATTTGTCCAACAATTCCAATTGTTTTCCTTGGACCAACAGTCTAAAATTGACAATTAGGTTAAACTGCAACTAAGAAAAGGTAAAATGGCTGCATATTTCCTTTTTTCTTATAAAGTTATTTCATAACTTTCTTTTTTATCAAATTATATTTCATAATTCTATCATTTTCTTTCTAATAACATCACTTTGTTTTGCCTGATTAATGTTAATCCTTACTCATTTTGTTTAAAACAAACAAAACACATTTTATTTAAAACAACATATACTTTTTGTTGGAGTTTGGAAATAGCACAATGTTAACTGTGTATTGGCAAAGTAAAATAAAATCTTTCAGTGTTTTTATCATACTTCCTATTGTAAATTTTTGTTCTAGGCATTTCAATCAGGGTTGACATGGAATTATGAGTTTTCATTTACTAAAACAATAGATAGTACATAATTAAAAAAAAAAAATCTTGATTTTTCATAGTTAGTAACAGATCCAGGATTTTTAAAATGATCTAAAAATGTCAATCTAAACTGATAAAGTCACCTACAAAGAGAAATATGTCTGTTTTTATAATTTCAGCTACATGCATAATGTAATAAGCTTTTTTTTCATTCCTTTTGATCCCTTGTAACTGTATATATACTTACCAGTAAGATCAGTTTCTTGTTCAGTTTGTCAATCTCAGCCATCAAAAGAAGATTCTTTTTCTGAAGTTCAGCAGTTTGATACTTTATCAACATACCAACTGAGTCTTTGTCATCTGATCTTCCTAGATGTGTTGTAATGGATGTGTCAACTTTGGTGAATGCTTGCGCAACACCAAATGTATAACTGTGGTTGGTTGATCCACCTTCAGATATATCTTCAAGTTTGCTGGTAAAAATAATGGTTTTTGATGGGTCACTGCTGTATGAAAATTCTGTTTTAGCATCATGTATAATGTTTCCTTCATTTTCAGTTAGTTGTCTCCTGAATGTAAGTTCCTGAAAAAACATTCACATTTGTTTAAATTTTCTGAGGAAAGTATGTATACTTTTGGTTACTATAAACAACATTACCACTATAAACATTAATGTTAACATTATATTTAATTGGTAAGAGTGACAATGTAATTTTTTTTTTCAAAGATTGTTGTCCTTTTGAAGAGTAATACTGTAGATTCATTTATTTTTTGCAGATACCAATCTTCCTGGATATTTCATGAATATTTAATTTTTCGTTGATTTGCTACTGTCTGTTTACAAGCCTTTAGAAAATATGTACTTCCAAGAACATTTAAAGGAGTAGGTTCGGTAAGGGCCATATTTGGCCCCGATTATTAAGTTCAATGTTTCAGGATAAAAATGTGTTAAGTTGATGAAAAGACATGTGAGGAAGTTAAATAGAAGTATTTTTGTCAAAGTTTTATTCTGAAGTGTTGATTTTTACATCCCAAATAGGTCAAAGACAGAGATTTTTGCAAAATTTGACAAAATTGTACTGATTTCAACCAAATTAATGCCTAGGAAACATAGAGCGCAGGCGTCGACAAACTAAATATTTGTGTCAGATATGTAAAATGCCATAACAAAAATTATGCTAAAAGATCTTTTTTGTCGACGCCTGCGCTCTATGTTTCCTATCCAAAAAATCAATGGAAATTTATCCATTTTCATTGAATTTTCATGGAAAATCAAAATGAGTGCTATTTGTGACGTCATGAACAGAGCGCAATTATGTAAATTTTCAAAAAAAAATTATATTTTCGATATTGTCATTGTATTAGCTATGATTCATTTTGGTATTGGACAATAAATCCTAATTTCAAATTTAAGCCAGAAATAGGCGCCATTTTAGGATCTTATTGAACCTACTCCTTTGTAGTTTACCTGTACCAATGAAATCCAAGAGTATTGATATCCGTCGAATAATTTTGAATCCACAGTATTCACATCTTTACTTTGAACAACAATTATCCTTTGAATTAAGATCCATGATTAATTTATCTTATTTGATTCTGATCTTCAAAATCTTAGAATTTTATACAGGAGCTAATCTAACCTGAATAATTCAGTCGTTATATTCTATTTTCTACAATGTCTACATTAACGCCTAAATGCATATATAGACAATGAAAAATTGTCAATCAATCATTCAGAATTAGCTCTGGATAAACCTATCTTAATGAAATGGAGCTGACTACTGATTGATCACCTCTTCCACAGGGCACCAATTTAAATCCAGGATTAGTGAAGAGTTTTTGATGTTAAGACTTCAGGCCCTAACAAGAAGGAGAGATCTACTACAGGGAGCAACTGAATTATTCAGGTTAGAGCTAATCAAAAGTTTTAAAAAAAGTGTCATAATAAAATGTAATCTTGGACATACCTTTCCAAATACTGGTAAGAACAGCTGTACTTTTCCACTGTATCCATTACTGTCTGGTGTCATCTCTGTATTAACTGTAACTTTCTTAGTTCTATCACTATCGGCATCCCATAGAACTGTACCATCAATAGACTGTGTTGCCAGCACTTTATTGACAGACCCAGAAGCCTCAACTGACCTAAAAGGTGTAATTACTCTGGCTGAACCCTCAATCATGTCCAGACCTGGTCTCTGGTCCTGCCATTTTGTTTCAATACCAGCAGCCTGGTTTTTATCTTCATCCCAGTTAATGATAAGTTTGGCAGTTTTCTCAAGTTCACCTTTAAAAGCTCCCTCTAGACTGACAGTACGAGTTGGGTGAGTTGCCTTGATTTTAAAGTCATTCATGTTTTCAAATTTACTTTCAATTTTGATATTGCTGTTGATGTCCATCTTGTCCCAGTTTGTATACACATTGACAGAATATGGTTCTCCAATCTGAACATTGTAGTTGAATTCTATTGGTCTGGGCTCTTCCATGTTAAAATCATAAATGAATGATTTTCCATCAATCGTTTCAAATGTTCCCTGTGTGTCAAAATACTTTACCCCATTATGACTAAAGAGAAGTGCTTTTCTTCCGGTACTAACTGCTTCATCAAGATTACGTTTAGTTTTCATGGATGCTGAATATTCTGCATTGATAGTTTTAACTTTTTCAAAAGGAGTTATCATGTCAAATTTACATCCCAGTTCAGCATTATCAGTATCTAATTGGAATTTACCATCAAAATCGATGGTGATCTTTCTAAGACTATCAAGTTTTATTTCTGTAAGTGATTCTCCCTTTATTCCATCAATTATCTTGTTGCTTGTGGAAAATCCTACATTTTCGGCATTTGGTATCTTACTGCTAAAGTCTATGCTTATGTCCAATGCTTCTCTATTTTTGAAAGTTGCAGATGTGCTCAATTCCATTTCATCATTAAATGGTGGACGCATGGTGATTTTGTTACGGAAATTCTGTGGGGCACCAGCATGTGTAAGAGTGAGATGAAGTCTCTCTGCTCCTTTCAAAGTACTCTCAATCTTAACATCACCAGTAATGTCTGTGTAGTCATCATTGATGTTCAATTTAGATATCAGTTTCAGTTCCCCACTTTTTGGATGAGAGAAAGTCAGAGTATTGACAAAGTTCATTGGGTCACCATTATGAGCCATTGTAATCTTAAAGTCTTTAATCATCTCAAAATCAACATCTTTAATGGTCTCAAAATCACTAGTAAAGTGATATTCTGCTTCTATTTCATTTCCTTTTTTGTAAAGTCTGATATAATTAGTTATAGGCTTTATGTTAGGAGGACTTATTACAATTCTTTGCTTAAATTCGGTATTTTTATACAGCTGTTCTATTGAAAATTCAACATTCTTAGCACCAACAATGTCACTAGTGAAAGTTACCTTTCCTATCAGTTCACCTGGAATATTCTTGGATAGTTGAACATTGAACTGAACAGGTACTCTATTTGGTATTTTTACAACAACTTCACATGCAAAGTCATCTATGCTTCCAGTGTGTTTTAAGGTCCCTTCAACCATTTCCGCTCCTTCTATTCCACTTGTAAATTTAATTGACCCATCAATGTTAGACAAAATTACAGCATTTAACCTCGCTTCCAATTTGATAGGAACCATGTTTGCTTTTTTAATTGTAAGGCTGCTTTCAAAATCTTCATAGTTGCCTTTATGCACCAGATTAGCTTCAATGTTCTCTAGGCCTTTAAAACCACTGGTTAGTTTAACATCTGCTCCAAACATTGTGATTCCCATGAACTTAATGTCTGATTCTATGACCAATGGTTTGTAGGTGAAAGGTTTCATTGTAATTGTGTTCTTAGCGGTACGCTCATAATTGACGTGATCAACTTCGAACTCAAAATATTCGTAATCTTTAATTTTTGTTACAACTGTGATTTTGCCTGTGTATTTACCTCTAACATCAGCAGCACTAACCTCAGATTTCAGGATATTGTCATTATATTGTGACTCTGTAATGATTTTACCATCTTTTCTTCTGAATGATTTCAATCTAGTAACAATTGATATTGGTTTCCAGGTGTCTTGAATTTCGAATTTTGCATCAATATCATCAATCTTATTAGATCCTTTGAATGCAATCTTGATTTTATCATCTATATTGGCATAGGAGGTTTTAACTTTACCCATAAATGTGAAATCTGTTAGCTGTCCTTTATGTTCAATCACTAAGTTTGATTCCTGTGTTTCACCAGCAATAACTGTCTTCAAAGATATATCAAGGTCAAGGTCAAAGTTTTTCAGCTTGTATGTTGTTACCATTTTAACTGAATTTTCAGTACCAACAGATCCCTCTATTATTGTGGTAAATCCTTTTCTTCGATCGTCATATGATACCTTCATAATAATGTCCTCAGTCAAGGGATTCTGAATAACAAGATCAGTTGCAGCATCCTTACCTTCCAAGCTATGTTTTAAGACAACAACATATTTACTGCCACTTTCATAACCCGCTTCTCCATTGAAAGAAAACTTCTTCCATGTTCCATCTTTGTTAAATGACAGTATCACATCATCTGCTCCATTCACTGGACCTCTAAATGTAAAGCTGCCAGTTGTCTGTTGATTATTGTGTGTAAAAACTACATCTGAATCAACTTTATTATCATTGAAAACTGTCTCACCGTGAGTTTTAAAGTTTGTACTAGTTCCTACATGGCTATACTCAACTTTAGCAATCTTCACAGTTTCAAATGGAGAAGTTAGCATTAATTTACCTTGGATGTCACCCACAATATCAAACAGTGCTTCAAGTTCTACTTTCTTTCCATTGGTTTCATAATCTAAGGTTGTATGGAAATCTTTCAAGGTGGTTCCTTTGTGCCCAACTGAAAGTTTGACTGTTTCATATCCTCTGACTGGCATTTTGACCTCTATGATTCCAAATATTTTTGGTCTTGTTCCTAATGTTGTTTCAATGACAATGTTTTGAGTACGTTTGTATTTGAGTTGGACACGTCTATGGAAACCTTCTAATTTATCTTTTACATATTCTTTCTGACGATACTTTGCAATGATATCATCATTAAATGGTGTTTTTATAGAAATGAAGCCATCAAAGTCATCAATGTCTGTAATTGACTTCTCCCATTTATATGTTGATGTAAGTTCTATTTTTTGAGTTGGTAAATATTCTAAAAGTAATTTGGAGTTTGTTCTTCCCAAAACTATCTCACTATCCACCTCAGCAGACATGAACGGTATTTGCTGGAATGGTGTATCTAATCTGAATGTTCCTCTTGTCTTAGTATTATACTGCCAGGTTGTTACAGCCATTATTTGACCAACAACAGGTACAATTTCAAAATCAACTTTGTTCTCCCAATGGCTAGGCTGTGTTATAAACTTGAAATAAGCACCTGTGCTCAACTTTTGGAATTGAGGGAATGGTGTAGTAATTTCTAGTCTGACAAGTTTTTCAAGTCCGGTATTGTAACGGACTGCAGCACTGACTTTTCTCATAGGTGCAAACTCCAATTCAGCTTCAGCAACCCAGTCCAGACGATCCATTTTGTGTGTTGCTGTTAAGATAATTCGTTGAGCTTGTTGGAAAGGTGTTGTTACTTCCAATTTACTGTCGAGGGTACCAATATTATTATAATGAATTGAACCATCCAAAACTATACGCTTCAAGGGTTCCCACTGTATTTTCAACAATCCTGTCATTGGCAGATGAGCATGTCTTGTTTTACCATCAATGATAAAATCTCTCATGTATTTGCTACTCATTCTAAAATCAAAATCAGTACTTCCAAGCTGCTTGGCAAAGTTCAGAGTAACAGTCCCTATGTTTTCACGATTTGCAATTATTTTTCCTTTTGATTTTATATAACCTATTTTATCCTCATGTTCAAGTCCAACAATCAAATGGCTCAATTCAGCTGAAGGAATTCTCATTTCTAAGTTTGCAGTATATTTTCGGTTTGGAAACTCTTCTATATTTGCTGTAGCTTTGGCATGGAATTCTTGTCCTTTACTCCATTTTGTATCAATTATTGTTTCCAAATCTTTATCTTTATTTAGATGAGACCAATTTATTTTAAGGCTATCAAATGGTGAAATAATGTCAAAAGTTCCTTTGTTCTCTATGCTCCACCCATCCATAACATGATTCATGTTCAGTACATACTCATATTTGGTACCATCAATTATATATATTGCCTTAGACAAGAATTTCTCTAAATTATCAGAATGAGTCCAGTTTAGAGTTATTACCTTATAACCATCAAAGGAGGTCAAAACACCAATATTTCTGTTCAGTTTTCTTGTAATATCTCCATGATTGGAATCACCATTGGTTTCTAATTCAAAGAACTGATCAGTTCCCCAAGTGACTTTTATATTTCCCTGTTGTTGTATCAAATTATCTGATATGGTACTCTGGAGTTTTAATGTAGGATTACCGATACGTGGCAGTGGTGTTTTCAAGCTAAGTTTCATGTCAATATCTAGTTTATCAATTGGAAGTTTTGATTCATATTGGAATGCAATAGTTTTGCCTTTGTTCCATGTAAGAGTTGCCCCGTATGCCATTTTTTTATTATTTTCTGCATGGTTACCACCAATTTTAAATTCCTGCATTTGTTTCCATGGTGTTGTTAATGATACTGATCCCTCAATGTGACGGCGATATTTTCTGATATCTTTATCAAATTTGACAGCAGCTGATACAGCATCATCTTTGTTCCACCCTACTGATACTGATGTGTCTAATTTATCCTTTGAGTTATGGTCAATTCTGGCAGATAAGTCGCGACCTGGATACATGATTCTTGATGAAACTGTGAAATCCTCAACAGTATTATTACGTAAGGATCCTTCTACAACTACTCTATTAAGGTCCCGTTTATTCCTTGCATCCCAGTTAACATCAATTTTTCCAGAATATTCATCTTTTTTCAAACCCCCTTCAGTATCAATTGTAATTTGACGAGATGGATATGCTACCTTTCCTTGTGCTGTCACATAGCTGTCCCCATCAAAGGTACCCTGTCCTGATACTACATAAAAGTCCTTGTCAACTTTCACCTTCACTGTGCCTTCAGGTTTTCTTATGTTCATTACAGCAGACCCGGACAGTGTTACTGGAGGTTGCTGGTCAATGTTCAGCGATGAAGCAATTTCACGTTTCTCATTATCAGGAAAAGAGTATGCTGCACTAAATGATGATGTATGACCTTCTTGGTGCTGTATGCTCATTTTGGTATTGTATTCTTTCTCCTTTTCAACTGCTGACCCTGACAACTGGATATGACGTCCAGTGAATTTGAGAGCCACATCACCACTATATTTGAATAATTTTTTACTCTGATCCATCAAACTAAGGGAAACATCAGCTGACTTTTTGTTGTCATATCGAAGATGAAGGTTTGATTTTACTTCAGTTTTGGAGTATTTATGTGTTCCACTGATGTATGAATCCAGTTTCTATAAAATAAAATGTAAACAAAAAATCATTACAAAATTTCCTGCAACAGTTGACAAAGAAAAACCTAGACATTTACTGTGCTCAGAAATTTTTTCGATGTTTTTGTCATTGCAAAAATTGCAATGAAATAATAGATGTTGCAAACAAAAATAGCATTTTACATTTTGATAGAATTATTTGTATGCAGCAGTTTCTGATATCTCAATAATTATATCTCATTTGAGTCCTTTGTTCAACAATTACAATAATAAATGCAGGAAATAATTTCTGATTCATATGTTTTAAAAATCAAATTAATAGCTAAATGTACAGTTTATAATTGAAAAATAAGGAATAAAAATTGACCAAACTTTTAGGTATATCAAAAACAAATACGTCCATTTATACTGTCTACCTATTAAGCAGTTGATAACAAATAAACACTAATTATCGTTTGTAGTTAGAATCATACTTGAATCTATAATTTTCTATTATTGTCTGTTTTTTAAGCAAATTTCAAGTGACTGTTGTTTTTTACATTATTTGTAAGCATGTGCAAGTCAAGTCAAGATTTTGCATACTTTTGCAATCTTATTGAATTTAGTGTCATTTTATGACTGTAAAACCCATAGAGTTATTTTTAACCAAAGCTGCAGTGTTTTGAAAAAGTACAATGATTCAAAATTTTAATATTCAAATCAGAAATAGCTTAAAATACATTGATGTATGGGCAAATTTGGTCCAAAATCATACCTCCCCCTTTATTCAAGGTCTTTAAAATTAAACACCCAGAGTTTACCTTTCTTAAAGACCTTTCTCACATTAACAATCATAAAGAATGCTAAGATCTAAAAAAATTTAACACAAACAACGGAAGGAATTATATTCATCTGAGATTTTTGACCAAAAAAATAAAAAAATGATATTGACCTCAGCTGGTAGTTGAAAGGTGACATTATAGTTGATAATTCCAGCTCCTTTCTTCTCATTAATGTTGTATTTTGTTGCAGTTAAGATTGACAGTCTGTGTTTATTAACTTTGGACATGTAGGTTTTCCCATAATCCACAGTAAGATCTGCATCTACTTTAGAGTTTGGACGATGGTCAATTTTCAGTTTAAGTTGGTTGTTATAATCAGCAAATCTGGCTGACTTCAAGTTCCTAAACAAATAAAAATTATATTTAACTTCAACTTGAAAAATACCTATGTATATCTCCTTTCCATATGAATAAAATGAGATTTGCATTCATCTTTTAACTGAAAACAATAAAAATGACTTTGATCAGTTTCTTAATCATTTTTTTTTTTAATGAAGAATTTGAAATTGATACATCTCAGACTTTTGATTATTGCTGATTATTGACTTTTTTGGATGAAATGCCCATTGTAGTATTAAAACAAAATTTCGTCTAAAATGTGGATTAATTTCAAGGTTACAGTTAAACTATTCTAGTTTTGTGAACTACTATGTATGGGAAGAAGTGGTCAGCTATTTGTGTTGCTTAATATGTTTGACCAATTGAGAATGTGACCTCTGCACAAAAACTTAACATTGACTTAAATAAGCCATGAAAATGGAATCAAGGACATGTAACTTTTGCCAGACATAAGTTTCAGACCATAAGCCATCAAATTATAACATATAAACATTCTACTTTGTCTACCTTTAAAAATAAAGTGTTAACACAGAGATATGTCTCGCCTATTTGTTATTTTGATAATGCAAATGGTGAAATTAAAATAGCAATACTTTAACATGTAAGTTATGCAAATATTCAAAGTGAATGAACAATGACTGAAGGTACAGGGCTAAACAATCTCCATGGAAATGAGATATGCCAATGCTAATACAACTGCATACCAAATACCATTGACTTTTCCCTTTAAACAAACCTAAACACAAACATTAACTTGTAAACTATGTAAAAGTCAATGAACCATGATGAGGGGATGGGGCTATATAATCTCCATGGAAATGAAAATTGCAAATGCCAATACATTTGCATACCAAATATCATTGATTTAACATTAGTGGTTCATCTTAAACTGACCTAATCACAAACTAATACATGTAATCTAATAATCTAAGCAAAAGATTCAAAGTCAATAGACCATGACTGAGGGGTAAGGACCAAATGTTCTCCATGGGAATGAGATGTGCTAATGCTTATACAACTGCATACCAATTATCATTGACCTACTACTAACAGTTCCTTTTAAACTGACCTAATCACAAACTAATACATGTAAACTAAGCAAAAGTTTCAAAGTCAATAGACCATGACTGAGGGGGTAGGGCCGAATAATCTCCATGGAAATGAGATATTCCAATGCTTATACAACTGCATACCAAATATCATTGACCTACCACTAGTGATTCCCCATAAACTGACCTAACCACAAACTAATACATGTAAACAAAGCAAAGTTTCAAAGTCATTAGACCATGACTGAGTGGGTTGGGTCCAAATAATCTCCACGGTAATCTCAAGGCAAGACAAAAACTGAGCCTTTTTCAAGTAGTTAACAACAACAACTGTTAAGCACCATATATGAATTAAAAAAAATGAAAAATACAAATAAAAGGACTTTTGTCGCAGGCAAGACTAAAATGATGCACTTCCACACAATATGGAATTCCTGTCTGAAAAATGTACATTATTACATGCATTACGTGTATATCAAATTAAGACCATTAAAGAGTAAACATAAATACAAACCATTAAATGTAAAGCTATAAACTTACGAATCAAAACCAATTCTCTGTAAACTCTTTTGAGTTTTCTTTAAAAGTTTAGAGTTGAACTGCAGACTGTCCTTTAATCCTTTGAACATTTTCTGGAAATTGTAGTCCAATTTTACAGAAGTTGTGGTTGCTCTAAGTTTTTTATCATACAGGTAACGCACTCTGGTTGTAATTTTCTGAGGGCCAACAAAGTATACTTTTCCTTTATAAATATTTCTTCTACCTTTTACAATAATACTGGATTCACCTGTGAACAAAGTAAGAGTGAAATATTTAGATAAATTATTTCAATTATTTTATTCAAATTTATGTCCAAACAGCTCAAAATAATGGAGTTACAAAACAATTTTCTTTTATTTACTTTAAAACCATATATATACATAGTTGTAGAATTTATAAATACATAACATGTGGACAAAAATTGTACCAGGTAATATATAATGTTGTATCTATAGCAGGTATGCAGGAAACTATTATATGTGAAACATTTTTCTTGCAAAATGTCATTTTATTCAATTCTAACAACAGCTATTTAAAATATTTCATGAGTTCAATCCATATTTATCATGAAAGACTTAGCTATGTCACATGTTTCAAGCTATTTCCACATCGGCAATACTGTTAATTCAGAAATTATTGCGATTTTGTCATTTAAGACCAAAATGCGATTATTATTTTTGCAATACTGAGAAAAATTCTGCGTAATTCATATAAAAAAATTCGAGTTTAAATTATTGCCATTACAACCGTCGCATTTTTTACAATAATAAAAACATCGCAATAATTTCCGAATTTACAGTTTTAATATCAATATCTAATAAGTTTTTATACCATTTATGCAATTTCAATTGAACTCAACCATTAAAAGAAAATTTGCTAAATTACAATTTGTGTCTGATATAAATGTCCTACCTTTAAGTTTAATAGGCTGTTTGAGTACTTTGTCAAGTATAATATCATAACGCATAACTTTTCCCTTCTTTTCATTGAAGTCAATGGTACCATAAAAATTGATGAACTCTTTTCCTGGAACAGCCAATATGATTTTTGGTTTATAAAGCTTTCTTTTTGGTTTTTCATTCATCTCGAGGTTTATATCTGCAGTGTATTTCTGATCTTTGCTATGTAGGATAGTTGCAGTCATTCCATACTGGGTTTTTGTAAATCTAACACTCACTACAAAAATAAAATACCAGCAGTCAGAATAACAAATTGATCATATTAAAAATAATTTAGTTCAACTATGTATACAAATAAATAAGAGGAATTCATGACAGTCAACATAATTAATTATTCCATATTTTGCTAGTACATTTAACCAAGGTAGTTTAAAAAAATTGAACAACAAAATAAAACCCAGCAGGGCTTTTTGGAAGTTGAAACCCCCTGTTTTGGAATTCATTTTAAATCATGTAAAAATCAATGCTCCCCCCCCCCCCCCCCCTTCAATACACACATACACATTTTTATATACTTTCTGGATCTGCCCCTGAAAAATGGCTTATAAGCCCTCATTCAATTTTACAGAAAGCATGACTTACAGTCTAAAGATACAGGTTTTTCCATTGCTCCAGTGAGGACAAGCTTAGAGGTCATGACCTTTCCTGGTCTGTAGACTATATCTCCACCAAGAACAATAGGATCTAGATCTGGTCTAATGATTTCTATCTTTGGTTTATAAGTTGTGGCTGATTTTGATGCAATTATGGCTACAAATGCTTCTGCTTGATATAACTTCTTAGAATCAACTGATACAGTTGCAAGCACCCTTTTCCTCTTTGCTTTATTTTGAAGATCACCTGTGAAAAGTTTTAATTTTTTCTCACTTTTTTAGAACATTAATTTTCTCAATGTGATATTATTTTGAATAAGGAAACTACAGTAAAACCTGTATAAACCAGCCCGTTATGGGACTATAAAAAAAGGGCCGGTTTGGACAGTGGGTCAGTTTATTTAGGTTTCCGTGTTGACAGGAAGTAATTGACTTGTGACGTCAGATATTATGAAAGTTGTAAAAGTTCTGTCTAATTGTAAATTGTAAACTAATAAAAACAAATACTGTAATAATCTATTTATTAAAAGTTATGTCATGATTTGTGTGAAAATATTGTGACATGAACATTACAAGTGTTTCCTGCCTTTTCACCATTTAACTACGCACAATCGTTGTTTTGAGTCATTCTATTCATTGGCTCTAGAAATTTCAGATATTGGTTGTTCCCCAAATTAAAAAAAAAAAATTTTTTAATGTTTATTTTACATATCATCGTATGCCAAATCAGCCTCGGTAGCACCAGTCTCTGACTCGTCAGTTTCACGTTCACTTTGAATTCATTGTATTCATTTGCATCAGAATCCTCGCGTTGTTTGAATTGTTCAACCAGATTTTCGTTTAACTTCCATCGTTCATTTCCTACATTGGTATAGCTGAATAAAAAGCAAGAATTTTATCAAACAAAATTTCAACATGATTGAAATATTGTCATACAATGTAGGATACCCATAAACTCCACAATGGAATGTCATCATCTGGATCTTCTTCATTATCAGGGTCATCAATTATGAGGTTCACAACAGGGAACCCAGCATTTGGAAAACATGGTGTAAATTTCTTAATCCGCAATTTGAATAGTTTATCAACGTTACGACGTAAGTTCTATCCGAGATATATTCAGGGTTTCTTTTAATTTATTCTAATTAAAACTTAATAGTGTTTCAATAAAACTAAAAGCTCACTACGGTAAGTTCACGGTTTAACACCTTGCTAATTGATTATCCTGAAAAACCATCTTGTATCAACAATTATGCTTTGACTGCATATCGATACATATTGTTATCATGTTAGATTAGTTAAACAAACCGGTTTTGACCGGTAAAAATTAATGTAATTAAGAGTATTTGGACTACATAATTAGACTGGAATTCGGAATACACAGGGTCCAATTTACAGAGGGTATTTTTACAAAGACTTTGAAGTGGAAAAAATGGGACTTCAATTTTCGGCAGAATGGACAGGAAACCGGTTTATTCAGGGTCTGGTTTACCCAGGTTTGACTGTACTAAATCATTCAGAAAAATGAAAATAAGCTTCATGAAGGAACAAAAATGGTTCAGATTTCATTTTTCAAATTCTTTTATCTTAATATATAATAAAATAATATTTAGTAAAAATATGATATCTATCAAACAACTTTTGGTTTTAAATGTATAGATTCTAACAATGTAATTTACCAGTTTGGGTAGCTATTATATTCCTGCACTGATGTGTAACATTAAACTTAAAATAAAACTTTTAGAAGATTAAGCCTATTCTGACCTAACCGAAAAGTTTGATATTGACCTTCAAATTGTGCAGTTTTCCAAGGTGAAACCATACTCATTTCCATCTTTTGATTTTCATGATCCATTTCAAAATTGAAACCTGTCTTCCTCATAACCTGTGATCCTGGTGTATCATACAACATCATAACTTGAGCCTTTTTCTTGTTCTGAAATATTTATAAGATTATCAATGACCTGTGCAACAAAAAATAAGAGGCTCTAAAGAGCCTGTGTGGCTCACTTAGGTCTATGTGCATCTTTAACAATGGACACTCCCCAACATTGTAGACTAGAATTCTGTTTACAGTTTCTCTCCATCTTCTTTAGTTTTTGCCCAAAACACAAAATTGTCATTTAAGGCCAATCACTCCTATAAAGAGTCTACTAACAATCTCATTAAAATTTGACTTATTTGTAGATCTTGTCTTGCTGGTAGTTTTGCTGATCGATAAACACTAACATAAGCTTTTTAAAATGAATTAATTACCATGATATTTTTGAACTCAAATTTGTAACTGGTATGTGTGTCCCTTTTGAATACATCTAGTCCAAATCTTGCTGGTCCTGTTAATGGGAAGTGTGGAGCATCAGTTTTCTGTACATCTCCTGGTAATGACATATCAATACAGAATTCTACACCAGTCACTCTGGCAATGGTTGCTCCAGAACACGATCTCTTTGTTAATCTGTCCTTGGCAATCATCTGTTGTTCCTTCTCTGTTCCAGCATGAACAATAAAGAACTGTGACCTGTATTCAATAAGCACACACTTATGTAAACAACTATTTCATTATGAATATTCCTTTTTCATATTAATCAATATAAAAATGAGTAGATGTTGCTGAGAACTTGGTCTTGACATCTTTCAGTATGGAATCATAGATCAAAAGATTACTCTACTTTAAAAGAAGAAAAAAAAGTACTTTATTGCATAGTTTCTTTGTAGATACTGGATATGTTTGTATTCCAGGCAGTATTATATTTTATAAGATCTGTCCCCAGGCAACAAGCAAGGTGGACTGTAAATGGACTTATCTAGAAATTCATCTTATATCCTTGTAAATTATGCTGCTCTGTGACCTCATTGTTGTAAATATGACTGGACTAACAGAGCATACTAAACAGCAATATTCCTATAATATGACACTATTTCTGAATTATAACCATTGTATTTTCTTCCAGTTTTTAAAAGATACAAATTCTAATATATAAAAATTAGCATGGAAATTTATTTTAAAGCTATGGTACATTTGGTAAACTGAAAAAAATAAATTGAGACACAGATGATGCCCCCACTTGCATATAACGTTATAAAGAGGCATGACTGGAGAACGGTGAAAGTGACGCCACCTAAATTCGAACTTGATTTGTGTTTTGGTAATAAGCGTTGTGTATAAGTTTCATAATTTGGTTGAGGCAAACTAAAGTTAGAGAACCAAAACCAACCTTGGGACGTATGTACAGATAGACGGACGGACAAGGGTAACACCTCATGCCCCATACGGAGAGGGCGGAGGCATAACAGTGGATAAAACATACTTGACTTGCAAGATTTCTGACTTTTCCTTTGGAATATCAAGCAGCATTGTCAACTCTTGGTTCTTGTCTAATTCAAACTTGGCTGTGACAGCAGTACTTGTATGGAAGTTGGATACCATCTTTAATCCACTCTTTGTAACAAATGCATCAATACTCATTGTAGATGATACTTCAACAGCCCCACTATAATAAAAACAATTAGAATTTTAAAGATTTTAGCTTTTTGCTTTTTTCTAATCTACAAAGAATAAAATCATTTCTTTTTGTTATTTCTAGCCCCAGGGATATTGCATCATAATGGAAGAGTGGTCTAAATTTTACTTCAGACATTATCTTTTAACTAAAAAAAAAATCTGCTGCTTAAGCTTCATAAATTCTCTGAATGTTTGACAAAGTAATGATGTTTTAATAAAAGAATCATAATTCAAGTTTTCGTTGTTTTTATTAATATATTTGCATTATCATAGCATTGGTCAGTAATATATATATATATTTCACTTGTTTACTTGTTGTCTGACCAAATTTTTTTCTGATACAAGACAAGCCTTATTGTGGAGCCCTGTTGTGGACACTTATTCACCATTGATGACTCTATATCTGGTGTACTTAAGCTGTAAGGTTGCCATCTCATTGATGTTAACTTGAATTAAATGTTCTTTTAAAGTCTTTGAAAAAATTTTGACTGTGAAATCTAAACTGCTGTAGCCCTTTTCACCAAAAATCTTATGTCAAATTAAAAATTGTAAAGTTCATAACAAATCAGTATAACTTACTAATTTTCATTGTAAGAGTGGTTGTGAAATGAGTCCCAAATGTGCATTATCCTACAAAGAAGCCATGTCCTTTCTGACAAGTTGAAATAAACAACTATTGATTGACTGATTTGTGTTTATACACCACTTTCGGCACTATTGTGCTATTTCCTGGCTGTCAGTTTTTATTGATGGAGAAAGCCGGAGTGCCTGGAGAGAAGAAATACACATCTATATGACAGATATAACAAACCTTGGTGATATGGATCCTTCCAAGACAATACTTTTTGATGGACTTCTAAAATCCATTTTTCCTTTAGCATTGAGATCAATAGTTGATGTGGCAATAACCTTCAAGTTAAGTGGCAGTCCAGTAACAGTTGGTACTATGATGGAGCTATCTAGTAACATCTTTGACATTTTCTGTGAAAATTCTTGTTCATTGGCTAAGTTCATGAACAAATCCAGGAAATTAAATGGTTTGCTTTCAATGTTGTTATCTGAGGATTGTTTTGTGTTGTAGTAACTGATCTCGTTTCCAAACATTCTCATAAATACTGATCCTTTTAGCTCATCTTCTGTCTTGTCCAGCTAAAACAAATGTCACAATAACATTAAACAGTACAAACTTTATTTCACCAGATGCACATTATGTTTTAGAAATTAATCTACATGGTATAAAACCTCATTAAGTTGACCCTTTATTGCACTGCATGTTGAAACTTAACTGATTTTTAGTGTAAAAATGAATCTGTTATATATTTTAATTTTTATCAATAAAACAGAAATGTTCATAGCAATAACGTAATTCATTTTTAAACAAAATTCTTACAACAGATTTTGGGAAATAAAAATTTAATGTGAAAAAAATGCACATTAACAGCACTTTTTATGTGTATTCTATAGTATACATTTATAGATGTTATTTAGTATATTTAAATTATGGTATTTCTGAAATTATAAATACTACATATATCTTTCTTTAATATTCAGATGAAGGCCAAAGAGTTCAAAATGCATAAAAAAATTTATAAGATCTGAAATATTGCCCAATTGATACCTGCCTTAAGAATAAAAATTTGGTTGCATTTCCACTTTTTTTATATGTAAACAGAACAAACTTTCAAAGGTTGTTGACATTTAGAAATTGTCTCTCGACTTACTTTTTCACTTATTCTTCCAACTTTGTTGAAATCAACATCTCTGCTCAACTTCTGTTCTGGTGCCAGGTCCTGTTTAGCCCCAAAGGATCCTTTTGGTCCAAAATTTTCTATAAGGATTTTCTCAAGCCCTTCTACACGTCCTCCAAGCTCAAACAAGTTAACAGAATGTCCAAATAAGTCAACTGTTAAGTTAACCATAGCAGATCTAGGGACAAAAGATTTTTGTGACCATACAAGGTTACTTTCCAATCCAGCACCAGCATTCATTCTTTCGGAGAAATAAGACCATTCATAATTCCTGGAGAACTTCCTCTTGTCAAGGTCAAATTCTTTCTTTAGAACCTCATCCTCCAGAATCCTTTGAATATTTTGTTTGTGAACTAATGAGGTTTCCATCAGATTGGTTAGATGTGTCCATACAAAGCTCCCAACCTATAGACAGAAATGTTTTTGTGAGACAAGTAACCAATCAAAACTCATTACTTCTCATATATATTTTTTTAACTAAAAAAAACAAATTGAAGAAAACTTGTATTGTTATGAGATATTTGATTCATTAGAATGTGGGCAATTCAGAACTTGATACATGGTATAAACACTAGTTCACCAAAGATGATTTTATGTTGACATCTCAATGTTTCTCTTTTTTGCCCTTATTTGGCTGGTAGGTAGCTGTCTGATTGACGTTAATCCTAAATCTTATTTTAAAATTATTTACCAAGGAAAATAAAAAATAAAAATTGAATAAAAATATGAACTAGAAATCTAGACAGTATATAATACCTGGTTAACTTCTTCATTCGCAAGAGTTTCCTTGATCTGGGATAAGATGTTGTCTGTTGGGCACTTCATCATCTGTATGTAGGCTGTAATCCTTAGTTCTGAATCTTCTGAATCATCTCTGTACAGTATCATCAAATTATTTCTCTGAAACAACATAACAAAATCCTAAAATCTGATTCTTTCAAATCCCCTCTTTACAGAAAAATTAAATTGTTTATCTAAGAAAATAAAAAATTATATACATTGTATACTGTAAATTCAGAAATTATTGTGTGCATTTATTATTGCGATTTTTGAAGAAAGGACATAGATGCAAGATTAATTATTGCGAGTTCAGCAAAAGATGCATACAGATATATGCATCAGATACCAGAATGAGAGTTCTTATTATTGCAATACTAACCCTGTCGCATTATTCGCAATAATAAAAACCTTGCAATAATTTCTGAATTTACAGTAATAAAAACTATTCCATTGAAAATTATTCTATAAAGAGGTCAAATTATGGTAGCTCTTTACGGCTGCATAGTTTTATCTTTTCAAGTAACAAAGATTTCAGTTTTACTTCAACAGAAACATCATAAATTTGTTTCAAATAAGTTATCAGACGAAGGAATATTAAGTTGTCATGCTTCTACTAACTAACATCATTTCAAGATAAAGACATTGCTATATGGAACCGAGTCTGGAGGGTGATAAAATCTTACTTCAACAAACTATCAACATTCCGTAACACACGTTTTCATAAAATCTGCAAGTTCTTTTGGCCAAAAAACCATCAGCAATAAAGACCTATATATGTTAACATTACAAAGAGAAATAAGAGCAGAAATTAAAGAAAGGCGTTGGAAATGGATTTGGCCACATTTTACGCAAAAACAAAAATGATTTAGTAAAGATAGCCTCCAATCGGACACCAGATGGGAAAAGAAAGAGAGGAAGACCAAAAGAAACATGGCGACGCAAAATAGACAGTCAACTGAGAAGTCATGACATGGGGAGAGGCAGCAAGAAAGGCACAAGATAGGCAGCAGTGGAGGATTTTGGTGATGGCCTCATGTGCAAGTATGCACAAAGAGGACTAAGTAAGTAAGTACAGTGTAAAGCCTTCTTTTTATTTTTCATATTTTTTTAGTATGGATGGATGGATTTGTGATTAACATCCAATGGTGACATACATTTCAGGACGTGAACACACTAATCTGATATAGTTTGAACCCTGCTTTTTACTAAACTGACACATTGAGCTAGATTTTTAACATTTTAGTTCACAATTTAAGCCCATACGAATAAAAGTCATCCTAACAAGACGTATTAATGAACTCAGAGTAGACAAGTCTCTATTCTTACTCCTTAATGCCCAGTGCTTAAAGAAGGGAAAGCAAATCTATAAACTTTCAAATCTATGGTTTAACTTGACTGGGGATTAAACCTTAAATACCTCCCACTCTGAAGGTGAGCAAGATACATATGTACCATGAGACCACCATAGCGATTCATTATAAAGAGGTGTTGGTATATTAATTGACAAGTATTGTGTCTTACATCAGCACCACAAGACATTCTTCTATATGCTTCTACAGCTGCAACACGGATTTCCATCTCATTGGTTTTCTTCTGAATACATGCATTTACTGTGGAAACCAATCTGTCAGCATATTCTATGTTACCAATTGCTCTCAAGCTGGTTATCACCTAAAATAGATTTTGAAATTCAAATTCATCAATTGATCTTAATTCAGTGGTACAGTCTTATAGCAGAATTGATTTAAAAGCAGTTCCATCCAGCATGCTTACAGTGAAGGTTGTCAAAAATGTATAAAAATGTATTTTTCTATTACAAAAACTTTTCATGGCTTGGTAAGCTCAGGTGAGATATGTTTTTTTTTATTGTATCATACAGGTGAGATATGTTTTGGTGCCACCTCTAGCCTGAAATCCTGGATCCAACATAAAAATCGTTTTACTAGCATATTTTCAATAATGACATAAACTCATATCTGCTTTTTTATTAGGGATACTTCATTTCTTATAAAAACTCATCATTTGACAGTTGTATTAAATATATGTAGAGATATAGTTAATCATGTAAATAATGAGGTGACCTCTTATACAGCTACCAGGTTAAATGTATTGCCAATGAGTGAGCTTCGTTGACACAGAATAATATAACCAATGGTCAAGGTTAACAGATTCAACTCGTGAATTTGTTTAATTGCAAAGTCAATTACCAGAAAAGAAATGAAACATTATTTTTTTTGAAAAATGATAACATCTACAAAATCCGAGGTTTTTACAGTTTTTATGGACTTCCTTTTTCGAGTTCGGTGTTTTTGTTATTACATTTTTTTCAATTGAGTGGGCAGGGCTAGGCTGTCCATAGTGGACAGGTGAAAATGAAAAAATCCACATTACTTGTAGTATAATACACAGGTATATTATTGTAAATCAAATTTTATCACTACCAGTTATACCTAAAAGATCAAGTGACCAAAACCTAAACAGATCAATATGTCACCCTTATAAATGACATGGCTTTTAATACAAATGGTACAAAAAGCAATGTAAAACTTTTTCTTTATACAATTTTTGCTGTAAAAGGTCACTCTACTCTTACTCATTTTATCATCTGAGGATGCTTGCTTCTTACTACTATACCTCCAAATAGTTGTTTTCTGTAACAATACAGCTACTTCCAACAGCTTGTTGTAGTTTGTTGATTATTGCTTCAATTTCTGGAATACTTTCACAATTCTTGTTCTCCTTACAATAAGTATTAACCATGACAGAAGCTGGTAGATAAACTCTTGTTCCTTCTGGTAAATCCATTAATTTCTAAAAAGACAAAACATAAAAGCCATGCCAAAAAATAATCTGGTAGACATTTATCTCCCTTTTCTACAATGAAATTCAGTTACAATGCACTCACAATCATTTTTGAAAGGAAAATCAACATTCTAAAATTCAAATTAACATTACAATGTCTCTTACCATCTAATTTTTTGCTAAAAAATAAAAACAAAGCAAATAAGACCTCTTGAATTTCTTGAAATTTCTATTAACAGTAACTACAATTAATGCCATCTTATATATATCATGATATTAACTGCTGAGTATTGTTAAACCAATTTTAAATTAAACTTACAGATATTTCTGTTAGCATTTCTTTAGAAGGATTTTGAATAAGAGACAAAGATGACAACCATATCTCGGCCATTCTTCCAGTAATATCATTGTTTAGGATCAATTTGGCAATTTGTTTTACTGCAGCTGTTGTTCCAATCATAGGCACAGCATCACTGTAGAATTTCCTGGAAAATATTTGTTTGGTAAATTTTAAATTTAATTATCTTCTGCTTCCACTTTTATCAATAGATATGCATTATCTAATATATTTTACAGGAGAAATGAGGTTTTCTGTGCAGGCATCTTCTTTAAAGAAATGGCACATCAGAAAAAGTGAAAAGATTAGTGCCAACATTGAGAATGTTTCCATTAGTGTATCATGTGATATACAATAAGGTTTGGGTTATAGTTTTTCATATACACTCGATATTCTAATATATCTACTTCATAGAATGCTCGATGTCAAAATACTCAATAAACCAACTCCAGCACATATCAACAAACCACATCAATGTGTTCATATTTTTCTAATTAGAATAAAATAATTTCTAGCATCCCGTAAATTAAACTGTATTCTACTAAAGGTAGGCCTAGTATTTTTTTTAATGTTTACTAAGCACATTGCTACAGTTCACTGGAAGTAAAAAAAAATCAACATAATTTCTGGCCAACATATTGTATAATTAAGGAATGACTGTAATATTTTTTCTGTCTATGAAAAATAACATCAAAAATGTTGTGCACACTGATTAACCCGCATACAGGTTATTTAAAAGTGTGCACCACATTTTTTATTTTGAATAGACAGATAAATATATTACAGTCATTCCTTATAATTTAATTATGAGGTCATGTTCACATGACAAAATTATGTCTATGAGCTGATAGACAAAAAAATTTCAGCCAATCAGAAGACGTGTTACATCCAAAATTAGATTATATTTCAATAAAGTATGTGCTTCTTAAAATTTTCATTTATAAACATTTCTTGCTTTTCAGTATATCTGAGATAGATGAATACTTACTTGACTCTCTCACTATTGTCAATACAGAAGGAATCTATTTGTGACTGTTCATATACCTCAGTGAGATCATTACTGTTCAGTTCCTTCAAGGCATATACAAGTTCTGAGAAAAGTTTTGGTGTTTCTGCTGTAATGCCATCCTTAGTAGATGTACATAGTTCTGTTAATTTTTTTATGGCTACGTCTTTCTTGTTTGAAGTTTTAATTTCGGTATTGTAGTGATGGTACAACATACTTTCACGTTTAGTTACTGAATCTAAAAGATAAAAGAGCAAATCATGTTGAAAACACTCTGTTGACATATTGCAGCAATTTATATGCACTTGATTTCTTTTTTATTACTTTTGCAGTTTAATGTCATTGTGTACAATTTCCACAGATTTATAAATGAGTTTGATTGGATATCGTTAAATTTATGAATCTGTGACAGAATTTCTTTTAATAGAGGAAATTATCAAATATTTCATAATCATATGCATCACAAACGTTCACAAGTAAGTATTTTAATTAACAAAAAAACACAAATCTCAAGGGTTTCTCTAAGTCTAAGTTATAAAGGACAGTAATTTAAAAAAAAAAAGCAACTATCCTAATCAAATTTTAATTTGAAATGCATCATATTAAGCAATTAGTAAAGGATCTTTAAATGACAATGTTTTTCAATATATGTATGTAAAAATGGGAGAATGTTTGGTAACTGTCAGCGGTAGGAGGTGCATAACTTTCTCTGTTCTGATAAGTTACAGATACCTGTAATAAGTTGTCCTCCACGTTTCTGGGTTACAAATTTTAGGTGTTGAATAACTTCAGTCATGGCTCCATTATTTCCTTTAGAAAATGGACGGAAGAAATGTATTTCATGACAGACTGTACTTTCTATACGACCTTCGGTACTGATATCTTGGTCACATTCTTGTGAGCTCTTTAGCAATGGTAATGACTGGACACTCTACAATAAAGTGAATAAAACTGTCAGTGAAAGGCAAATGTCAAAAGTAATGAAATCAAATCAAACTGAAAACACAAGGTAAATGTCAAAATTATTAATGATTAAGGGAGATAACTGCATCTGTAAGATAAGGGAGACAACTACATCTGTAGGTGACAAACTACTAGTTTTTTTAATTTTACTACTTGTCATTTCAAAGAAAACAATTTGGGAGGTGTGAAATATTTGACATTTTAACCCTAAAATATATTAATTGAAAGAACATTGAATGTGGTCTATTAACATGTCTTTTAAGAAACAAATGTTTCAAAAATGAAAAAAATATAACTGGAATATATTGGAATAGAATATTAAAGAGAAAACAAAAATATTTTCTCCAAGAAAAAGTTCCTATTTCGATAGGAATCTATAACACACTTTCTATCAATTATTCTATATGTAGGGCTAAGAAAGACTGTAAAGATACCAGTCTATTTTTTGCAGACCTTTAAGATGTTTTTTGCCTATTTGTGTTGTTGGGTGCTATCTGAAAATTACTTAAAATATCCTTCCATTCATAACTAAGAATTAACTGTTCTGACAAACTGATAAAAACTTAACCTTGACTTGATTGCCATAGCGAAGCAGACGATATTCAAGGTTCAGATTTGATTATATTGACTTAAAACTATAAAGGTGTAGACTTACTGACGGAATACTGTAAATTGTGGCCTGTGCAGATGTCTGGAAACCATGTCTATTTGAGCAGCTAACAAGATCTTTTGTTTTCTTCACCTTCACTGTTCGCCAACCTTCTTGTTTAACTCTGTATGTTGTTGGGCACTTTCCAGATACATCAGTCTGAATAAATAGTATAAAGCATTTATCCATATAATACTTGGTATATGCGCAATTCATACAGATACAGATCTTTAATTGGCTGCAAGACTAATCACCTATTTCCTTTATATGTTTCAAATTTATGTATAACCAACCTAAGAATATAACTACCTATTTGCTCTGTCCATCTAATAAATTTTCATAATTTTTACACAGTGTTTATGTATTTGTGGAAAACAGCTTATGTTTATAAAAAATTTGCAAATTCAATTTTACTGAAAAAGTAGTTGACATCATATATTATACACGTATATAAATAATTAATAGAAATATTAAACAATCAAATATCATCCTATGCAAATTTCACCAAATGTACATGATGTCTGCTAGAGTTACATGTTCTTTGGATTTCTGACTTTTTTACATGTTTTACACTAAAGCAATTTTTCTAGAACAAATAGCACATAATAATATTAACACCATTAACAGAATGACTTCCCCTTAATGTTTAGTCGTAAATAAGAAATTATCAACAAATTTCAATATATATACATGTAGCATCACTTCAACTTTGCCAATTTTAAGTATTTCACTTGCACCCTTTTTTTTGGGTGTATCAAAATTTTTACCTCTTTTGTGTTGAAATGAATTGAGTAACAGTATTTTTACTGGTTACACAAAACAAGATTCAAAAACATTTATATAGGTTCAATATATATAAGGCTAAAGAACTGTAAATGTTTGCTGAATGGAACCTCTTTAGAATATATCGCATATTTCAAATAAACAGAAAAAAAAGAAATCAATTATTAATTACCTCTGTAACCTCTGTATCCATGTCCAGAGAGTCCATACTGTTCTGGAAAGCAGACAGTATACCTCGTTTGAAGTTAAGACTCCAATCAGAATCACCATCCTCTGGACACAGTTCCTCAACAATTCCATCTTGGAATGAAAATCGCAAGGAATTACCTTCTAATTCTGTCTGGAATTCACTTCTTTGAGGATGTTGTTTGAATTGACGTGGGTAGTCAGGGTCAGATCCAAGAACGTTGGAATTTTTTACCTGAATTTTTTTTAAATGTTCCTGTTACTTATAAGAGCATTGAAAAAAACTAAGTTTGTGCAGATAAAATTTGTCAGCACTTTAACCAGGAGACACTAATAATGTAAAAAATGTGAATTATAACATTAAAAGAATGCAAAATATGTGGTTAGAATTTTTGGATCAGTGCCAGGGTGTCTTGGTTCCAGCTAGAATAAGCATTAATTCGTATTGGAATACTTTGTTGAAATCACTTTGTGTAGATTGTTTATCTATAAAATGGATGGAATCTCTACTCAGACAATAGACTGTATGGATGGAATACAGTTGTATGTTCTTCACAAAAATATGCAGATGTGGTATGACTGCCAATGAGACAACAACCCATCAAAAAACCAAACAAGGATATAAACAACTGCAGGTCACCGTACAACCTTCAACATTCATTACTGATATTTTTCATGGCTGATCATTGCGTTGACTTTTATTAATAAACTTGATCAGCTGATAACTTGCCTTCACCTTAATCTTTGAACCTGATAAACACTGTAAAATAAACATAGCTATTTTCCAGCTTTATCACTCATATATTTTGTGTAATTTTAATATTAAAAAAGAATAAAAAAATATTTATTTTTTTCTCGAAAATACATGGAGACAAGAATATAGTTTTGAAGAAAATTGGAAACAGCATGAAAATTGTGTATGAAAAAAGCCAAATTTTTTCAAATGGAAAAGGAATTTTACTTTTTTGTTCAAAACCAAGGTCATTAAATCCACCTTCCTCCAGTGATGAGCACATGTTATCTAAGAAATATTTTTCACAGTGTTTTTAATTTTAGTGATATTATTATCTACTTTTCTTATTTCTACTCAATTCAATTCATTTTGATTTTTAAATAGCCCATTATTATTATTGTATAATTAAAGGAAGATTTCTTGCATCAAAGTCAACACTTACTGTAAGAAGAAATTCACATTTTGATAAAATTTCTATTTCAGCTGTAGCAGTAATTTTAATGCCACCCTGTTCCTCTGTGGAACCTTGTATACCAGTTTTTGTTTCTGCTTCATATGAGTATTCATATATAGTACCAACACGGTAACCAAATTTGTTTTTACCTAAAAAAAACATAAAAATAAATATATTATATTACAATTGTATTCTGATCCAAAATTCCCTTTAAATATATACAAAAGCAAGTATGTAATTTTCCCTTATATTACTAGTGCATTATCACTGGAAAATTAAAACTAGTTAAAGATAGTATTCTTGTTTTTAATTTAAAAGTTTTACTGTACAATAAAATTAAGGGGTATTGCACTAGTTCAAGTGAAGAACTTATATATCCCTATTCCCTAAACAAAATACCAATTACAACCAAAAGCTCATGCAATATCAATAGTCTACTCTTGGATAAAGGATCACCTTGCCTGAAAACAAGCCAAGCAAAAATGAACTGACGAAATTCTTGTGTCAAATGAAAATTTAAATAAAATGTATTGTTAATTACACGAATAATATCCATAAAGATTTCATATTTTCAACTGATTAAATGAAAAGTTTTCAACAGAAATAATACTTGAATATTAGGATTTTTTCTTTCCTTCAATTATTAGCCAGAGCAGAGACATATATACATATATGTCTCTGGCCAGAGTAACTCAAGTTTTGTTGTTGTTCTACATCAAAAAAAGTTAGAGCATCCCTCCTTCATTATTTTCTGTATTTATACAAATGTTTTCATATTTCTCTTTTATTTCTGTTTAGTAATCTGTTCTTGGTCACTGCACCACAGTCTTACATTGGAAGCAGTTTTATATAATGCTGTTTCACCTCTAATTTATCTTGTTTTAAAAAATATAATCATGGTTTCCAGGGCACATCCACGATTTTTTAGAGGGGGGTGTGTAATTCCAGAAAACTAAATATAGACTGCTGATCTGAGCACCCACCTCCTTGGTTCCGACACTGAGATTATAGATTATATAGACGTATTTACACTTGTTCCCATAAAATTTGACATCACATGTATGTACAATGTATGTACTGGTAAATGCCTCCGTTATCCGAAGAACCCCTCGAAAGCTGCGAGGGTACAGTGGCATCCATGTACACTCCCTATCGGGATTAATGGAGATGTGTCACTAACATATTATACGACAATTATTTTTACAAGGACGATCAATCCCCACCCAACTCAAAGGGAGTGCTAGGACACCGGGAAGTCTGTTATTATGGTGGAGGAAGCAGAAGTACTCGGAAAGAACCACTGGGCCACTTGGCAGAAACAGACAAACCAGGGAGATATCAGAAGATTGATCTCCAGGTCAAAGTAGCAGACAACTTTGACCAACCGAGGCCCCCAAAGTACCCATTCTAGTTTTAACTCTGGTCTGGGTACCAGAGATGTGTGTGAGAGGGTGAAAATTACAATAACATATTTAGATAGGTTTGGATGAATCTAAATGATAATTGTACTTATATGTCTTATATGTATAACAAAATGGCTTATGTAACACATTTTTGCATCGTTTATTTATGTTTCCTTGTTGTGATGATTTTCGGTTTCACAAGCGTGTATTTTCCCGTGAAATGCTTATATTCTTACGTCATCGTTCTATGACGTCGGGTAGCTCATTCATAAAAAAACATATGACGCGGAGTACGATTGGAACAGCCCAAACAATATATTCATATTTTACCACAGGTGTGTACTCAAAGCGTTTGAAGAACGTCATGTTAGAATACGTTTTTTACTATTGTGACAGACATGTACCATGTATACATGTAAAAAGTTGTTTGTGCTGAAAACAGTGTTGGATAATCCAGAGACTTTATATATGGTACTATTTTCATGTATATGCATTTGTCTCTGTCAATGGGGGGTTTACTATATCCACACTTGTACGAAAGTGATAGTGTGGATAATAAACCCCCATTGACAGAAACAAGTGCCTGTGTGTATGAAGTTGTTTTATGTGCTTTTTTCATTTACATACTATTAAACAAGTACTTCTTTCTGTATTTATTCTTCTGTACTTGTTATTATAGAGGTACTGGTAGTACGCAAAAAGTCAGCGAAACAGATTCGCTCCATGAAGACGTTGTAAGATTCGCTCCTCTCCCATTCATGGAGACTTAGAGGAAAAGGGACAGGTACATTGTTAACGGCGTCCACAAAAAGCAATATAGTCCTCAATGCGCGATTATATTCTCTTTTTGGGACATAAAACAATGGGACTAGCTTGTGGCATCCCAATCAACGGTTATACTCCATAAAACTATTTTAGCAGGGACACTATGATTTCCACAGAAATTTATTTTAACATGTTCTTGTTTTTGGGAAAAGATCACAGGCACTTGATGACAAGATTTAAAATACGTTGCCTTCTTACTAGTTTTTTTTTTATCAAACCAATAAAAGATGTTTATTTGCCGTATTGCATTTAAAGGTTATAAAATGTAAAGATATATACAAAATATAGGATAATTCTTAAGCCGAAAATCTGAAGCATATTAAAATCTGAGATTACTATAAAATCTCGGTTATCATCATGATTGATCAAAATTGTTAGTTCTTTCGTCGAAGGATAAACATCAAAGAAAGGACTTTATACCAACTATCAGCTTGTTGTGTGATATTAATCATATTTATATATCAAAGTCCCCATACAATTTGACTTGCGTAATTCATCTCTTTAAATGAAAATAGAACACAGTATTTTACCAATGTTAATAAGTGCACTTAATAATTTCAAGTTGAACACTTATTGGTGCAATTTAACCATACTTCCGTTGCATATTGTTTTACTATATAATTTTATTGCATATTATATAATTATGACATCTTTAACCGAACTATCAGTTTATGAAAGCGTGATATCTCCCATTTTTTTCTTTCATGTTTTTTTTATCGAAAACACCTAGCTATAATATGAAAGGGGAAAATGACATTATTTGCCAGTCATAGGGCAGAGTCCAAGACCGCTCCTCTTCAAAATGAGTGGTTGGCAACTTGCTTGCAATACAGTTAAAGATTATTTTGCAGCTATGTTCGCCAGGTAATTCTAACCACTATACTTACTTGTACATTGAGCGGCACATTGTGTGTTTGAATTGAGATTCTTTACAGGTCCTGAAACAAGATGACAATCAAATAGGTTATTACCATTGAATTGAATCATATGATACCTAATTGTGTACTTGATGGTACTTTTCATTTCCGATATAAACAAGACTCAAGTTAAGTTATTTTCTAGGTTAAGTTAGAACACGACGTAAAGTAAAGTACATGTATGGTACAAAGTCCACATGATATAGTGCGTTAATTAACCACAATTAGAAAATTATAAAGATATTATATATTCAACATTCAACAAGATTGCGTGGCCGTTTCACCTAAATCAGAGACATATAATACAATATGTCTCAGTCTAAATTAACGATTGCTTTTAGACATTATAACAAAGCAACATAGCTAGCGAGATTCATACAATGCATGATTTCTAGATACAGTTGAAGTTGTTCAAGAGTTTAAGTTTTCCCCCGGTTTTGGTACGATTCGCCCCGGTTCGAAATCTTTGCAGTCAGGTTTTGTGGTCTTGTTTGACTTTAAGTTTGTTTATTGTTCTTTCATAGTATTGTTTGTGCTTCTTGGACTTATGGTTATCATTTCATCCTTCATATATTTTCATTATATATCTGTCACATTTTTTCTCGAATAAAATCAGAGTCACGAAATGATTTAATCCCTGAAACTCTCCTAGATATACTACTATTTGAAAATGCGACTAGTTTTGTATTATGGGCAACATTTTAACCCCGATAAAGCTTACCAAAAATCTATTTCAGTGAACAACGTTTAAAGCTATATAAACAGATCTGACATAACAACATTCAATAAATGCAACTTATAAGACGGTATAAATGTAGATTTCGTTCACTTTCGTCAATATATTATGGAAATACTTGTTTACATACATGCAAAATGAACTATAATGCACTACGTATATAATTATAAACAATGCAAGTTGGCTCGTCTCCGTTGACAACAGCAACAATTTGACATATCACGACATTTATATCAGATGACATTTGAAAACACAAACATGCCTTTGTTTTTAAACTTTCATTTTCGATTATACTGAAGATGCCAAATTTTCAGTTTTCATAAAATTACTATTACGGATAATTTGTCTCTATGATTTCTTTGTTTTCAAATAACACCATCATTTAAATGTTTTGTTGAAAAAAAAAATTTTGTGTCGGACATTTTTACAAACTAGTCGGTATGCCCTTCTTCGAGTATGTCATCAGTTTGCCGTATGATTGAGGTTTACTATCAGAGATCTCGAAAAGTGTTGTCCGAAGGTATTGACCACCAAAATTTTGAAAAGGACCGACACAGTTTTGGTATTTTGCAATAGATAACAGTGAGGACCAGCAGATTTTCTTCAAGGACCACCAGTGGAAAAACTATTTCGAGAACTCTAAGTATACCCCACATCTGCGTAAATTAATAGTATTGAAAATCGAGATATTCACTTCGTGATGCAGAACAATCGCAACGCACACATTTTTTTCTCTTTACTGAGATTTAGCTTGTCGTTCATTATATGATAAATGTCAAAGAAAAAAACACACAGATGGTCTTACCTGATAAAGCACTGGCCACTAAGACACTAATCACGGCTAAACGTAATTCCATGATTATTGTCCAGGTCCAACAATGTGGACAGTTGCGCTGATAAATTTTTACTAACTCTAAAGTTGTTTGCGCAGTTTCATATTTATATACAAAGGGTCATAGTACTAAGTCCAAATACATGTTAATCCATTGATGTTGTATGACACACGATGATTGTAATTAAGGCCAATTAAAAAATGTTGAATTGCTTCCAAGATCATCCTCTACTATCTTGGTTATAGATAAACACATTTTGTGAAAATAGATATAAAAAAAATACGCTGTCATGAACAATTTTTAAAATGATTTCGTTGACGAAATTCGTGACACTGGATAAAAAAAAGACTTCTACTGTAAACTATAAATTGACTATGACAGACATTATATGTACAAAATGAATATCAAAAGACCATACTGTAAGACCAGCATAACCACAAGACAGACAAGAAAGACGTGTAAACAAACAAGACTACAAAATATAATGTTTTGTAATACGGATCGCACACCACCATTCCAGAGCCATACGGTGCATGGCCTATAATTGCTGACACCACTTCAATTGAACTCTGTGGATAGTTGTCTCATTGGCAATCATTCGGTCTAGTAGTGAAATTCCTTTTGTTGACTTAGAAACTGACGACCCCTTCCAAGCACGTTAGTTCCTCCCGGTTATAGGCGGGGTTCATTTTGCTCAATTACATGTAAGTCATTCTGTTTAGTGTTTTGTGGTCAATTTCTAGTCTGTTCGTTCGTCTGTTGTTTTTTTTTATCCGTTTTCTTTTTTTGCCATGGCGTTGACAGTTTATTTCCGACTTATGAGTTTGAATGTCCCTTTGGTATCTTTCGCCTCTCTGATCTATTAGACACTGTTTTTCTTGACGTATAATTTTCGACTGCCCAATTGGTATATTCTCCCCTTTTTCGGTATCGGTTTATATTGAACTGCTATTTAGTTCATAAGTATAAAATGGGGAGTTTCAAATCGAGTATGGGCGTTACGTTTCTTATAATTTTATTTTCACGGAATTACACAGTAATTTGTACTTGGATTGTTTGGTATTCGTTCCGTTCCGAAATAATTGTTCATTATTTGTTGTTTTTTTTTTAGTCAAAAATTATAAACGAAACCGTTACAGGTATATTTCTTGCTTTACTACCCCTTTGTCAAACTAATAAAATTATTTTAAGCTGACAGGCAGATAAAGGCTAGATGAATGCTAAGAGCTACCGACCTTCCTTTATATTGAACAATATACAAACAAACTGCAATAATCTTAAGAGGCACATATTTAAATCTCAGAAAAGGGAAGGTTTAAAATTGGATACTAATATTTGTTTCTATTGTGACCATGTTCCTTATATCATATTTTTTCATCATGTACAGTGAGGAACCCATTCAAAAATAACTGCCGGGAGGAGTCGCGGATTTGGAATGTTAATATAAACCAAACCACATTCTGTATGTGCATGTCCCTGGTCAGGACCCTGTAATTCAGTGGTTTTCGTTTGCTGCTGTATATCACATTATTTTTTTCATTTATTGTTTTGTACATGAATCAGGCCGTTAGTGTTCTCTCTTGTTTGAATTGCTTTACATTTGTTATTTCGGGGTCTTCTAAAGCGCTTATTATGCGGCCGGTATAAGTTTTGCTCATTATTGAAGGCCGTACGGTGACCTATAATTGTTAACTTCTGTCATTTGGTCCCTGGTGGAGAAATGTCTTATTGGCAACCATACATCTTCATATTTTTTTTATCTATACCCTATCAACAGAACATTTACTACTTATACCATGACATTTATTTGAAGAAATGAGTCAAATTTTCTTTGAAATCAACGCATTTGTGAAGATGTTTTGAATTAGGGTTGCTTAACTCATTTATTTCTTATGGTTCATATTTCCACACATTACAAAATATGTAATGAACATTTAATCGCACATGGAAAGGTTTCACTGAATCGTTAAAGAAGAGGTAAGAGGATATGCAGGTTGTGCATGAGTCAGCGCATGACCGGTCATTTTATGTCTTGTCTTACTATTCAGTAACATCGACACAGAACAATGTTTGGACCGGGATGGATCCCTGGCTACATGTATTATGTATAAATCATAGTTTTAACAAAGAAACTCTACTTATTTAACAAGCGCATGCAATTTCAAGGCTACAATATCGCACATTATAATCTTACATATACATTATAATCTGAAATTTGTATATGTTAAATAATTGATATCACTAAAGCTTGATACCGAACGAAGCGAGGCAAACATTTCGTGACCTTACAGATGAATTATTTGTTTCTACCGATAGGGGAAATATTACACCAAAAACGGACATTCTTTTTTTTTCATCGGGGTTTTGTCATAAAATTATTCCTCGGTAGCAAAATACTTGCGTCACATAATTAATTTCCATAAATACAAAATCTACTAAGCCCCTTGATCTTTGTTCAAATGGATAGCCCGTGACCTGGGTAGATAAACAAAGACCAAGTTGTGTATACGGTATGCAGTGTTGCATGTTTCTATGCCTAGATGTTTATAAATAGGCCCAGAAACTACAAATCACGCATATCTGTCCTAGGTGCATATGATATTGAAGTGCATGTACGTAATATTGAAGGCCAGAAGTATTAAACAATTAAACGGGTCAGTGACCGATTAAGCGTTTGTTACACTTTCATAGTTGGAGTTATTTCAGTTTCAAAAGACATATTGACAGAAAATAAATTATACTGCTATATATATAATCTCACTCAAAATAACAATAAAAGATATTGGCCATAATTTACAATTTTGTTTAAAATGTTTTTGTTTTATTTAACAGTTTCCCAAAAATTTAAGAGAGCAAAATAAACATTAAATAATATAAACGGTACCGATTTTACTGAACCAGATGCGCATTTCGAAAATTATTGTCTCTTCAGTGATGCTCGAGGCCAAAATATTTGAAAATCCAAAATCTAATACAAACGTTGAAGAGCCGATCAACCAAAAGGACCTAAAGTATAGCCAAAACCAGACTATAAGTGAGAAAACTTGGTTAATCAAGGTGCAATGAGCTCATGTGTATGGCTCACACCAAAAGAGGCTCGTCTTAAGTATCTAATTTTCAAAGCGAACTTTCCTCTTCTTCTTTCCCCACATAAGTTGTCTGACGCAATTCTAAGAAACCGCAGTTCACATGTACTTAATATTTGACTGTGTATTATGATTTTCTTCGCTCAATGGGGTCCATTAAGGGGTATTGGAGAGGCCCACTCAAAAGTGGGATAACAATAGAATCATATAGCGCAAAATTGTTTTGTAATAAATGTTTTTATTTGCAACAGCATGGAAATGAATAACCCCAGGGGCGGATCCAGCCATTTTTAAAAGGGGGTTCCAATTATATGTCCCTATCCAAAAGCATTGTCCGTAAAAAAAAGGGGGGTTCCAACCCCCCGGAACCACCCCCCCCCCCCTGGATCCGCCACTGAACCCCAAACGTATGTGCGTGATGCTACACCTTTCGATTTTACGATTGGGCAATTGCTCCACATACCGGCTTGGTCAAGGGAAACCAATGCTATTTTTTTCAGTGGCACTCCAAACTGGATTCAACAGCGTGTTGGGGTCTATTTGACATATACCATGGAATTAAAATGAATGTAATACTTCCATCTATATACCAACATATATTTCTTATCTTTTTGTAATCGACTACAGTATTTAATAATCTGTATTCTGGAAGCCTTTGTTATGCATTAACTTAAAGTGTTTTTTTTTACATTATTTGTGATCAGAAGTCCATTACTAGAGGACCTCTAGTAATGGACTTCTGTTGTTATGTATGTTGCCCATTTGAATTACGCAAAGTCATATTTATCATATGTGTATTGAATTTGTAGGAGAAGACCAGATAGACACAGAACATTGTAGGAGAGTGACTAGTAACAGTAAGAATTGATGATTTGGTGGATGCACATGATACAAAAATCCCTTGAATAAATAGAAAATAATCAAATCGCGAAAAAAGATGTCTTTATTTTCATGATTTTGTAAATTTCATGTGGATGGTTGATTGGTCCCCAATGAAAGGATCGTATGTTACAATGTCAATGCTGTCTTCAGTTTTTAGAGGTAATTTATTATAGTTATACCTTCTATTTATAGCCCATTCATGTTATCAAGGATTTGTATAGTCCACGAGATTCCAATCCTTCTCACTATACAAATCCTTGATGTTATTGAAGGGCCGTAGATATATATATATAGGTATGCAGGGGCACTCTTTAGACATAGACCAGGATTCCTTTAAAACTGATGATTTCTTTCCTAAAAATTATATATAATAATTAATTTCCCGACAAATACCAGCCATAACAACTATACACAAGGACTTCAAAAGAACCAAATTGAATATGGAAACTTGCGTGACAAAGAAAGTAATTAAAATTGGCAATTATTACGACTATAAAAAAAAAGAAGATGTGGGATGATGTGGATGCACTGCATTCTCCTTTTATCATTCTAAACCGCAAATCTTTGGCTAAGCCTAGGCATATAATCAACAGAGAACCATTCCAATTACTGGTCATCTAAAGCGACTATGTATCAAACACTGTAGGTTGCAATTCTGTAAATACAGACAATGCAATTTCCCATAGGAACTCCCTTTGCGGCTAAAACTGTGACACTTTTACTATAAAGTTTCGTGAAAAATAATATCCCAGAACGGAAAGTTTATATGCACTACTATTTTATTCAAAGGTCAAAATATAGGGCTGTGCGGCATATTTTCAACATTTATATGCCCTGAACTTCTAAGAGTTTAAACTTATACTAAAATTCTATACTACCCTTACCTCCATTTTTGGACCTCCTAAGAATTAAAATTTAGCCGCTACCATGTTTATCTATACTGGTTACATTCCCAAGTGATGTCTCTATGAGATGAAACACAGAGATCATCAATGGGAACCAGTACGTTAACAAATTAACATACCTATGAAAATTAAATATCTCCCCAAAAGAGGCGTGGTTTGAGAAACAGCTGTATTTACAAAGTGCAACCTATACAAACATTTATTCAAATAGAAAACTCTCTAAAAACACTTTTTCTCACAACAATACTTATTTATCAGAATTATAGCCTTAAAGAAATCACTGCAT